TTCTGGGCTCCTGGTCCTTCCACCCCCCAGGACCCTCTGGGCTTGGGGATTAGTCTTGTAGCTGACAGAGCAAAAGCCTGCCTCTGCCAGCCTTGGGGACGTGTCTCTGACCCAAGGTTTTTGGAGTCCAGCTTCTGTTTTGGGCAAGTCACGGATCTCTCTGAGCCTCCGTTTCCTCCTGTATGAAATGGAGATGGTAGAACTGGCTTTGCAGGTTAAGGGAGATAATGTGGACAAAGTGTCTGACCCATAGTAGGTGCTGGACAAGTATAGCCCAGCCCCTCTGCTTGCTTGACCTTGTGTACCTGTCCTTTAGGGTTGGTGACCTACCTGTTGTGATGGCGGTAGGTAGGGAAGGGTCTTGCTGTGATTTTACTTTGGTTGCTCCTCTTCTCAATGTTGACTGAGAGGCAGTTGAGGATCCCATCAACCAAACTCACCTAAGTTCAGACCCAACAGAAAGAAATAGCTTCTGCATTAAAACCTCCCTTTCTTGCCCACCCCCCGCCACCCCCCATCAGTATTGTGTGCATTTATATGTAGGAAGTAGCAGTGGCTCCTTTTACCGACAGAGGAACAGAAGAACAAGAGAGTAATTCCCTGCCCAGGCTCACCTGACACATCCTTGAGGAAGTGCAGAGTACAATGGAGTCATTTTCCTATTGAGCTTCTCCAGACTGAGTTTTGTCTGGTCCTAACTTCGTTTGTTCCTTTCAGATGGCAGGCAATTGAGTTACAGCTCCAGCTCACTGTTTTGAGCTTCAGCCCAGAGCCTCCCAGCAAAATAACCAGCATTCGTGTAGCCCAGATCCAGGAAAAAGTCTTTGTTCAACTCATCCCACTGTACTTTGGGAATACAGATAGCTCAGAAACCTGGCAAACAGGCTTGGAAGTTAATAGGTTTTATTTAATGACACGAGAGTCTGTCTCCCGACAGCATGTGCAAGGTTTTGTCTCCTCTCCCGAAATCTGTGTGACTCCCGTGCCTAAAGGAAACTGAGCCATCTTCCCAGCTGCCCAGCTCAGGGCACATGTATTTCTCTGGGGGACAAGGAGGGTTCTTGGGTGAAACTTGCCGGGAGTATACTTGGTCTGAGGAGTTGAGGACAAATCAGTGTCTTCCCACCAGGCTCAATCTTGCCCTAGCTGAGCATTGGTTTGCAGACTGAAAGGTTGCAGGTTTGATTCCAGTCAAGGGCACGTACCTGAGTTGTCGGAGCACATGTTGGAGGCAACCAATTGATGTGTCTTTCTCATATTAATGTTTCTCTCTCTGTGCGTCTCCCCCTCCTTTTTACCTTCTCTCTTAAAAAAAAAAATAAATTAAATCAGTGGAAAAAAATATCCCCAGGTAAGGATTAACAAAAAATTAAAAATAAAGTGGGGACACACCCTAAGATGTAACTGACTGAAGCAAATGTACCAGAAGGCGTACATCCACTTGAGTGATGATCCCTTCAGTATTGTCTCTTCGGAGGCTTCACATGGGCACCACTGATGTTCCCGTTGCTTAAAACGGTGTGGTGGACAGCCTCTAGAAGTTTCCAACAGAACCAGCTTTTCAGCCAAGTGAGAAAATTGTTTTTGAGATTTTTTTTTTTATATACATTCTTGTTTTTGGATACCAAATGGTGTCCCAAGCATGGCCATCGGTCTTTTTTTGTTTGTTTGTTTGTTTGTTTTGTGTGTGTGTGTGTGTGTGTGTGTGTGTGTGTGTGTTGTAATTCTGGATAACTTCCAGTTATTTCCAGAAGTCACAGTCAGCCAAGGAGGACCTACGAGATCCTAACCCACATTGAGGGGACTCAGAGGGACACCTTCTGAAGGCAGATCTTGGCACTTGGCCGAGTGGGTAGCTGTGCGCACCTCTGGGTATCAGTGAGCCAGGCCAGGGGCCAGTATGTTCTCCAGCTGGGAGCTGTCCCTGCCCACAGGGAGTCCTGGTGAAGACACACTCGTTACTTGTAGAGACAACAATAGTTCCCTCCCTGCAGGAAGATTTAGTGTGGACCTCAGTCATATCCTTACAAGCCAGCTTTCTCTGGGTGTGGCTAGCAGAGGTCTCTGTAGGCATGAAGAATGGAGTTGTCTTTGTATGACACCCTACCCCTCACTGATGTTCAGTGTTGGGCCTGCAACCACGTCTCCTCCAGCTGAAATATGTTCACAGCCGGCTCCCGAAGTGGTGGTTGTACCCTCTGTCCTCACTCACCCGCCGCTGGAGGGCGGTCATCTTTTTTCTATACCGATGGCCTGGGAGCTCCTCGACCAGCCAGCATGTCAGAAGCCAGTGTGGGGAGGAGACGGGGGTTGGTGTGCAAGATGATTAAAGTTAGAGCTCCAAAGGTAAGGTGCAGAAATGGCGCAGTGGCCATCTGTCCTGATTTCCTGGGCGGTCACAAAGCCAGATCCTCTTTTCTCTGCCCCACAGTGGAAGAGTGGCGTATCTAATGTATAGCACCTGGTACAGTCATTTGAAAGGGTGTGGATGAGTTAAAGGAATGGAGAATATATCAATATTTATAATAAGGTTTTTTTTATTATATTTTTTTTTTATTGATTTTTTACAGAGAGGAAGAGAGAAGGGTAGAGAGTTAGAAACATCGATGAGAAAGAATCATCGATTAGCTGCCTCCTTCACACCCCTTACTGGGGATGTGCCCGCAACCAAGGTACATGCCCTTGACTAGAATCAAACCTGGGACCTTTCAGTCCGCAGGCCGACGCTCTATCCACTGAGCTAAACCGGTTTTGGCAAGTTTTCTTAATAAAGATGCAAAATCACAAACAATGTGATCACAATTATATAAAAACAAAAAGCCAACCAAAACCGGTTTGGATCAGTGGATAGAGTATCGGTATGTGGACTGAAGGGTCCCAGGTTAAATTCCAGTCAAGGGCATGTACATTGATTGCGGGCACATCCCTGGTAGGGGGTATGCAGGAGGCAGCTGGTCGATGTTTCTTTCTCATCGATGTTTCTAGCTCTCTGTATCCCTTCCTCTCTGTAGAAAATCAATAAGATATATATATTTTAAAAACCACTCCCCTAAAAAAAACACAAAAAAAGACCAAACAACAAACAGGTATATAAAAACGAATGAAAGTAAATATAACAAATATTAGAAAAATGATTTTCCTTTGGGTAGTGGGACTATGGTGATTTTTTTCTTTGAGATTTTTTTTAAATATTTCTCAAATACTCTCTATAAGTCTTGAATAAGTCTTAGGTGGGAGCAAATTAAACTTGATAAAATCTCAACAAAGCTCTTTTCATTGTTACACATTAAGAGCTGAAATGTAGCTTAGAGATACGGGTGCCATAACCGAGGTGACCTGGGATTTCTTCTTGACTCACACCTTAGAAATCTGAAAAGTCAGGCAAGGCCAGGTTCCAGGAAGGCGGTAGGGACATAGTTCTTTCTGGAGGCTGGGCCCAGACAAGGCAGCCTCTCAGGGCCCCTGCCCACCACCAGCCGGCGAGGATCCCTGCTGCACACAGCCTCTGCCAACAGAGAGTGGGGCTGAGTGTGGGGACAGTCTCTGAGTGGGAGCAGTGACAAAAGTCTGGGACGGAGGCGGGAATCTAGAGAGAGTGCCTGAGCCTATAAGGAGCCAGAGAGTGAGCCTTCTGCCTGAGGGACTTGTATCTCCAGCTGCCAAGCATCCGGCAGGACCCAGCCCCTTAGAAAGCTGGTGCCCGCGGTTGTGGTCCTTCTGTGAAGAACCTCCCTGACGGTGCAGGGTCCGGGGCTCTGGCTCGGGGCGTGGGAAGGATCGCTTATTCTTCGAGCAGCAGTGTTTTTTCAAGGAAGCCGCCTGTTTTATCTCTAAGGTGGACACTAGGATTTTCCCTCGTAGCACCCCTGGAAAGGTGAGGCTGGAGAAGGGCCATCAGAGCGCTCCGTCTTCAGCTGTGTCCTGCCTGGATCTTCCATCTCCATCTCTGAGGGGCCCTGGCCCAGCCTCCAGATCTGATTTTCTCCACTCCTCAGGCAAAGAGCCTCAGTTTCCTGCAGCCGCCTGGACCCTGTTGCCTGGCTGAGCAGTGGACAAACCCAGCCTGCTCCGGGACTTGCGCTTTGAGGAAGGCTCACTGGTCCCATAGTTAGCAGCATCAGCCCCGAACCATTCAAGGATAATACGGAATTTGTGGGGAGGCATTGGCGGCCTCGCTGCTTGGAAAAACTGGCAAATGCTGGGGCTCTGTGGAGGCAGGTGAGAAGGGTTCTGCAAGGCTTCTCTTGAGTGTTGTCCCCAAAGTGCTGGTCCTCCAGGGCAAGAGTGAAGAATGATGTCTCTGGATGCTGATTGGGATGTACCCCGGAGGTCCTCATGGGGACCCAGGCATGCTTCATTCCTCCTGCTCTTCAGGCGTGGCTCAAGGGGTTCATATCTCCAATGGCTCTATTTTGGGACGACTGGAGTGTTTCCAGAATAGGACTCTTTGTTGAGTAGTCTATTTTGGGAGGCAGGCCCTACTGGCGTTTATGTAAGTGAGTCTCTGTGTGTATCTGGGGGTGTGGATGTGCTCACAAGTGATTTCTTGTTACTAATTATAAGCAGCTTCTTTTCTGAGCCAGGGAAATGGAGGTGTGTGTGTGTGTGTGTGTGTGTGTGTGTGTGTGTGTGTGAAGTATGGATTGCTCTTGTTGTGAAGAGTGGTGTGTGACTGTGTGATGGGGCAGTTGCCATAGACACGCAAGTAAGAGTAAATGTGGGGACCTTAGGACAGCAGGCAAGGATGACTGCCTTGGCCCCTTTGTGGAGTGGCATGCTGCGGAGATGTGACCCTCTATCATCCTCTTGATTCCATGCAGCACGCGGGTAGGCTGGGCATCGTGGCCCTCAGGCTGCAATCTGGAGTCAAGTGGTCCCCAAAAGGTCGGTCCTAGGTTGCCTAAGGCCCATCCACCAGTTCTAAGCAGGAATAAATCTCAGATTCCACTTCCTACCGCAGTCTGGCACTCACTCACTAGATTCTCCTGTCTCCCCCACAGGCCAAATCCGCATATGTCGAAGCCAGAGAGGAACCAAAGACCGTCCAGCATGGTCAGCGAAACATCCACAACTGGGACCATGTCCACCGTGGAGGCCAAACCTGGCCCCAAGGTGAGCTCCTGGCTGCTCAAGTCTTCTGTCCCCTCTCTTAGAGTTTTGCCAAGCCCCTTTGTAATCAGAACTAGTGACCTTGACCGTAGTTTTGGGAAGGAGACTCTCGTTTTGTGAGAAGTACTCTCCCTCAATGATAGATCGGGAAATCAAGGCCCGTTGGGGGCGGGTCTCTTGTCCAAGAGAACAGGTGATTGTTGACAGAACCAGGACTGGCATCTAGGCTCTTGGATGCATCTTCATTTCCCAGGCGTATCTTGGAAAGACCACCCGTGTGCGAGAGGTGGCCTGGAGGAATTTGTGACAGATGGCCCCCGAGGAAGGGTGCCCTTGAACAAGGCCCAGAGGTTTCTATGCTCGAGCTGTGGGAGCACTGACTAAGGAGCAGGGAAAGGAGCCAGCCTTGCAGGGGAGAAGGGCTGAGACCACCCCCAGCTAGCAGGGATACGTAGCTGGTAATTGGCAAAGTCTGTGACCAAAAAGTAGCTTTGTTCCAGAAAGCTGTAAGACATATTGGGGCCAACAGCTGCTGGTGGAAGTTGATTGAAATATCCCTTTAAATTTTTTTCCTCTGTGACCCACATGGGAAGCTTGCCAGGTCTGGGGCTCGCCTATTAATTAGAAGGCTGTGGCCATGTGCATGCCTGGCCCATGTCTCCTCGCGGTTCTTCTGATCAAAGGGCGCTGGCACGGAGAGCGAGGCCGAGGGAGCCTGCAGCTCTCCCATCGCACATGTGCCTTTTTTTGTGCCTCCCTGAATCCTCGCAGCTGCTAGAGTTCAAGTCTGCTTTTCCCTAGATCATCAAGTCCAGCAATAAAGTCCACAGTTTTGGAAAGAGGGACCAAGCCATTCGGAGGAACCCCAATGTTCCGGTGGTGGTGAGGGGTTGGCTGCACAAGCAGGTGAGTGAGGAGGCCGAGGAGGGAGGATGGGGAGGAGAGGATGGCTCTTGCTGATTTCTTTTCTTACCCTGGCTCCTGGGGCTGGGGTCAGGCTCATCATTAAGCTCCCTGAGTTGGTCTGAAGCAGGTAGTTTTTGCCCACTGACTGCACTGAGCACTTTGCTGTTGTTTTTATGAGTAGACTTGCCCCTCAATGGCTATAGCTTTCCTTTCCAAGCCCACTTGCCCACTTTGGTCCTTGGTGCTTCTTTGCTGCGCTGGGACCCTGGTGCTAGTGTGGGTGGGCCCACACGAATCCAGCCTTCCCACCAGCACTTGCCTTCCTGATGTTAGAGTCTTTGTTATCATTGGGCCAGAAATCCCTGTTTTCCCTCTTTTCCAATCTAGCCTCCTAGCACCTCAGGTTCCAAATCAGCCAACCTCAGCTCCTTGTCTTCTCACCCTCACCTCTTCCACCCCCAGCCCCCAAATCTGCTTTTCTGGATCTCAGGTTAGAAACCTCAGCACCACCACCAGCTCCTCCTCCTCCCACATCCATTCAGTCACTGAAGCCCTCCCAGTCAGCCCCATCGCCCCGAGGCCATCCTCCCCATCACTTGCTCTGCGTCTGGTCCTCTGGCCATGGAGAGTCTGTGAGAGCCCAGGGCCACAGACCATGTCCCTCTTGTCTCCTTCCTTCTCTTCTTGCTATCCATCCATCCATCCATCCATCCATCCTGCCATTTCTAAATGCTCTCACAACAGGTATAAGGAGATGAATAACATGTGGTTCCTGCCCTTGAGGAACTGAAGGTCTGCAGTAGGGAGAGAGGGAGGGAGAGAGACAAATTGACACATGTCTCCCATGCCATTCCCTCACTCACTCAGCACATTCTCTCCTATATCATGTTACCTGAAAAAAACAGAAATCCAACTCCAAAAGCAATGATGTAAATTTTTACTAAAGGATTTATGGGAAGACAGGAGGGCATTACATTGCACACCACACTGAAGAAATCCATAAAAGTCCCCATGAAATCTGTCTCCCCAGTTCTGATCCCCATGGCAACTTTCACAGCTCTCCAGCCTCTTCTGCCACCACTCCTCTGGCACCACCCCTCTCTGAAAGCTACCCCTCCCCTCACAGCTCTGTTCTCACTCTTTCTTACTTCCACTCATCTCTTTTCTCCCCTGAGTAATTTAACCCTCTGTGCCCATTAAATAAAAGAATGGTCCTTTGAAATGTGGAGGGAGAAGGGAGGAAAGATAAATAATTCTCCCCAAGCCCCACCCCCTCATCCCTTGGCTGTGCTGTGACTGTACCAGAGGTTTGTGGGGAGCACTGTGGACACAGCAGAGAGAATGTCGCTGTGCTTGGGGGAATCCAGAAAGGCTTCCCAGAGGAAGTGACATTTGAACCAGGTCTGGAAGGGTGGAGAGGAGTTTTCCCAACAAAGCAGCTATCATATGCTTAGACATTATCTGGCCAATGCAAAAAATAAAACCAAGAGCTGAAACCGGTGTGGCTCAGTGGTAGAGCGTCGGTCTGTGAACTGAAAGGTCCCAGGTTCGATTCCGGTCAAGGACATGTACATTGGTTGCGGGCACATCCCCTGTGGGGGGGGGGGGGGTGCAGGAGGCAGCTGGTCGATGTTTCTCTCTCATTGACATTTCTAGCTCTCTATCTCTCTCCTTTCCTCTCTGTAAAAAATCAGTAAAATATATTTTTTTAAATAAATAAAAAATAAAAAAAATAAAACCAAGAAATGTATGAACTCAGCAAATTAAATTTGTTTTTAGCACTTCAGTAAGTAAAGAATGAACAGACTTCATGTTGTTAGGTATGCTCAGACACTGTCCTGATTTCTTTTCTTTGTTTTGTAGGACAGCTCTGGGATGAGGCTATGGAAAAGGAGGTGGTTTGTGCTTGCTGATTATTGCTTGTTTTACTATAAAGGTGAGTTGAGGCTCGAGCCACCATGGGGTCTGTGCTAGAGATGGATGGTGAGGTGATGCAAATGGTAGTTGTCTCAGATTCAGTGACTGAGCTCATTAGTAACCTGCTAATCCCCAGAGGTGTTCACTTTTACATATATGGATGGTTGGTGACATCATGTTTGCTAGTCCCAGCTCTGGAATTTCCATTTATTGAGTTAAAATAAAGCAGAATCTAGTGTGCTACTACTTAGGGTCTCAGGATCTGGAGTTGTGTCAGCTTCTGCCCCACTCAGGACACAAGCACGCCTTTGACAGAGAGGTGGCAAGTATAGGTAAATCGTTGTATTTTGTAACCTGTTGTCTGGACTTATCCACTGGGATACTGGACGGACAGCTGGTGGATTGAGTTGGCCGTATGAACATTTATGGGACCCCAGTACATAGAGGAAGGCTGTGCAGCAGTGAGAAGGAAGGTATGCCTCAAAGTGTGGAGGAAGAGATAGCCTACTTTAAAGACAAGATTGGGAGTGATAGGAGCGTTAGAAGGCATCCAGAGTGCGTAGGCAGTTTAGGGGATGTAAGGAGTTAAGTGCATGTTGGAGCATTGGGGTGGCTTCTTAGAAGAGATAGGACTTGAGTTGGGCTTTGAAGGACAGGTACTGCTTTGCTTGTGTTGGGGGCAGGGGGAAGGTGGGGAATGGACATTACTGGCAGAGGAAATAACTTGAGTAGAAGTTCTAGAAGCAGAAGAAAGTGGAGTGACAGACCTGGGAGGCCAGAGTGAGTCTCACATGGAGGCTGTACCAGGAGATGAGGCTCAGGAGGTGGGTAAGGGCTGTGACACTGGGTAGAGGAAGTTGGTTTCATTCTGTGTCCAATGGGCAGTATGTGTCCAAACTGCCTTTGAGTAGGAGAGAGACAGGATCACTGTCGGCAGGAAGAGGCCTGTGGTGTGATGATTAGGAGAAGGAGGAGGATGGAGGTGGAAGGTAAGATGCTTCACACATGCTCTAACTGCCTGTGTGGTTAGCTCCATCCAGAATGCCCTTCCCCATCCGTGATGACACTTTACATATTACCTTCTGAAGTCTCGCCATCCTCAGACTGTGTGTCACCTCTGCCTCTGTTCCCGCAGCACTTGGCATATGTTATATTTCAGAAGTTAGCAGTTGAGTTGAGTGTGTTTACATGTCTGTTTCAGCCCTTAGGGAGAGGGCCCTGTCTGAGTCACCTGAGGTTCTAGCATTAGAACAAAGGTCCCAGGGGAACAGCTGCCTGGACTGTCAGTGAGGGCAGTCCTCCTGGGGAGAGAGAAGGAGCCCTGAACTAGGGCGGTGGGGTGGACCAGCCCGAGGGAGGTGCCACAGAAGGCTATTCTGATGTGTTTTTCCGTTCAAAGACAGCCGAGAAGAAGTGGTCCTTGGGAGCATTCCTCTGCCCAGCTACGTCATATCGCCGGTGGGCCCTGAGGACCGCATAAGTCGCAAGTATTCCTTTAAGGTACTGCCCTCTCTCCTCTAGGGCTCACATGCCATCCTAGGAAGCTGTGTTCCCAAATAAGGCTTCACTAAAAGCAGTTCTTTTTGTGGGAGGGGGAAGAAGGTAAGCTAGAGAGTTTCACTCATGTTAACAGTTATAAATTCTTCATACACGAGTAATATCACATCACCAGTGCTTTCATTTGTATGTGAGCTCCTGACTCCCCAGCCTTGCTCAAATATTTAGACCCCTCTTTTCCTCTCTCTGTTAGTCCTGAGATTGCAGATTGGACACAGCCCTTCTCTTGCTTTCTTATCACGGTAATCAGCCAGTCTAACTAGCATCCAGCCATTGAGTACAAAGGATGGTCCCTCCTAATGGATTTATATCGGTTATATTATGAAAATTTACAATGAGGGTTAGGGGGCCTGCCTGTTGAAAAGATTTTCAGGTTTGGCCATTGTGTTTATTAGTATATTGCCAGAAAGCAATTAGAATCCAATTTGGTTTACTTTCTTGATCATTGGAGATCCCCAGGGAAATCCCTTTCCCCATAAAACCCCCTTTTCCCTTTCCTTCATCGCCATGCCGTGTGGAGTGAGTGGTGCCAGGATACCTGACGGCCATCCTTTGTCAGCCTCTGGCCTTTTTGCAGCCAGGTGTGGAGGCTCCGAGAAGGTGTGGTTAGGCCCAAACTTGGGAACCTTGAGGCCCTCTCTTTCAGTGGCCTCCACAACTCCTCCACTGCTGATATTTCTTGGATTCCTGGGGATGGTGAGGGTGGAGGGGTTGAAGGTCAACATTATTGGCAGTTGGAGTGGAAGTCTCACTGAAGCAAGTGGCTGCTGGTGCCAGTAACCACGGGGAACACCTCTCACGCTGCTCAGGATACAAGGCAACGACATGCATTCAAGCTGGGGTCTGGGCTCCTGCCTGCACTACTTATATACCTTGGCTATTTCCATGTTGAGGGTACAAGATGAATATTAGGCAGTAGCTATAAAAGAGGAGTTGAACAAAAGTCAAGCCCTAAACCGTTTGGCTCAGTGGATAGAGCGTCTGAGGACTGAACGGTTCCAGGTCAAGGGCATGTACCTTGGTCGCGGGCCCATCCCCAGTTGGAGGTGTACAGGAGGCAGCTGATGGATGTTTCTCTCTCATCGATGTTTCTGTCTATTCTCCCTCTATGTAAAAAAAACAAAAGCCAAGTTTCCCAGCTACAGATAATGAAAGGACCATGGAAAGCATGCGGAAACACACCTTCTGTTCTCTGGGAGGGTTAAAGGAAAGGGTTGGTATGCAGTGTCCAAAGGCATCATTGGCAGGTGATTGTCTGCATCAGCATTTTGTTCTGGGGTCCACTGTGGTGGTTGGAAAGTCAAGTCTCATTTTCCTCCACCTCCTTCCTGAGCTTGTGCTTCAGCTTTGTTCATCGACAGGTGTGAGCTGTCTGTCTCCCTCCCCTGTCACCCTCCTCATGATGCCAGAATTGCGGTGTTTTGGTTCTTGGATGCTCTCCCACTTTGTGTTGCAATATATGGTGTTGCCTTATATCTGCAAGACCTTTGATGGTTTGAGAAGCACTTTTATCCATGTTAGCTCAGTGAGTGCTTGTGGGGAGCTGGTGAAGTCAGTATTATTAGCTTCATTTTATAGGTCAGGGACATTTTATAGGTCAGGATTGGAGCACTGAAGACACTTGCCCAAAGTCACAGGGCTGGAAGGTGATGGAGACAGACCTCAAACCTGTACTATGTCCTCTTTCAATTGAATTCCAGGGAGGGAAGACAATTTCTTTCTCTTCCTCTTATGTTGGTTACCTCCTGCACTTACATGGTCAGGGGTGCGAGGTGATTAGACTTAATGTTCATTGTTATCATTTTAGCAACATTCTTCTCTGTAATTATTCAGAAGTCTCTCCTGCTTATTGTGGGCTCTGAAACCACTTTGCTGAGAAAACCTTCCTTTCCAGGGTCGAGTGTTGCTTTGGGCAAGCCATCTGGGTAATGATGTTGAATGTGATTTTGGGGATGGGGTAGCATTTGGCATATTCTCAAAGTAACTGATCATATCTATTTATATTCCATCTTAACACTTTCTGAGGAGTTGTGAAAATAGATTCTAGGAAAACATCTTTTGTGTGTCATAGATTCCTTTCTTTAAATTTTTTTTTCTTAGACTCTACTAAGAAAAATCTTTTTATCTGGGAGAGGGAAGACATGCATGTGCTGGGGAAGGGGGGCTTTCAGGCGAGACCCTTATGGTCTGAGAGCAGAGAAAAGCTACTACTGGCAGATCTGGTTCTCCAGAAAGAACTGCTTTCCTGAGTATGAAAGGGTACCCTTTCCCTTTGGGTTACAGCATCTCTTTCCCCGACTGTCCCCTCTAGTGGTCAAACAGGGTTTCCCCTGAGCAAGGCAGGATTCATGTTCTTGGACATAGTTACTGAGGAATGGACAGTATTTGGTGTCAAGGGCCTTATGCCTGTTTCTAATGTCAGTTCTTCTCTATTTCCGGAGCTGGAATTCTCTGAGTGTTGCTAGGGCACCTTGCTTGAGATCATTCAGCCTTAGCTATAGTGGTGGATAGGCACAGACTGAAAGGTTTTATGGTCCCCTCCTGGTCTTTCCCCACAACTGTGCCTGCAGCCTGGCAGTCCCTACTCATAAACAGGGATGCTGGATGTTAGATGGACCCTGAATACAGCCGGATCTGCAGGGTGAGCCACATCAGGCTCTCTGAGACATCCGCCCGCTCTGCTGGCTCAGCGGGGGCACCTCCCCAAAGATCTGTTGGATACATGGCCACCCTCGGCCTGTTGGTCACCTCTGAGCAAGCTTGGCCCTTCGGGTCCAGGATCTGGAGCACAAAACATCCCCGCCCAGCCAAGGGTCCAAGGATCTTCTGTGGGAAAATGCTTTCACCTTCTCCTTTGAGACATTCTCCCTCTCTCAAGACCAAGGGACCTGACCTGAGTGTGCAGACTCCATAGTGCCAGTGGATAAATCATATCTTCCTTTTTTAACCTATAGTGTTTCCTTTGGTTAAGGAAGTAGGCCTTAATAAGTATCAGCAGCACCTGTGCCTTGGTCACCACTAGAAATCAGAAGGATGCTCACGCCGCATTATCATTGATATAAATATCTTGAGATATCATTTATGAGCATCCCTACTTTGAAATGACAGTAATTATTGTTTTATGGTGTATTATTAAAGAAGCACCTGTATCACTTCTTCACAATAGTTAAAAATATTTGATAACTATATTTCAACATAATATATTTCCTTTATTTTAATTGTATACTTAAAAGCATTCTGAGAAGAATTCACAGGATTCATCAATCTGTCAAAGGTTTCATGTGACTTTCCCCCTCGCCCCCCAGAAATTAAGACCCCCTGCTGAATTTTGGCTGAACTCCAGCCAAGAGATGAGGTTTTCGCCGATTTATATTCCACCATCTTGTGCTCTGTCCATGGTTTCACTTGGCAGAATGTAGATCCTGGAGATACAACAGTGTGAAGGACAAAGTCCTCGCCTTCCTGGGGCTGATATTCCAGACTCTGCATCATCAGCCTGGGGGTTATTAGGGAATAAGAAGAGAACATGAAAGCCTTCTTTTTCCTCTCCCACTTCAATTTTGTTTTGTGTCTTTTTCAAATTCATCTCTTCCTCTCCCCTGTCTCGGTCACTGGTCTGTCTCAGCAGCCATCACCCCTCCCCTCGGTAATCTACTCCCTGCCAGAACAGTGCCTAGTGCATAGCAAGCAAGTGCTCCGGAGTGTTGGCTCCAGCCCCCAGACCCCTCTGCAGTCTCTAGTTCCTCCTCTGCACTGTTCCTAAGTTTCACATCTGCTGAGGTGGTGCTCCCACCATAAGCCCTTCCGTGGCTCCCCACTGCCTACAGCATAAAGCCCAGCTTGTCTCTTCAGCCCGTTTTTTAGCCACTCCCACTTACACGTTCCCTCCAGCCAGAGGCAACGGCCTGAAGATCCAGGACGTTTCTTGCCCCTGGTTTGGAAACTGCCCCAGGTGCTTCTCAGAGGGCATTCCTGATGCCTCTGCACAGGCTCTTTGCAAGGATACCCCTGAAAGCACCCCGAGCGAGGCTCCCTAGCACATAGTAGGTACACAGGGATTTTCAGTCAGATGTTGGCTCCTTCCAACTTTGTAGTGCCTCTTGGGAGAGCCCAGACAGCAGCCTCTTTGATTGGCACACAGCGCATCTCTTGCCCAAACTGCAAGGCGCAGTGAAGAACTGCACCCAGCTGCCTGCTGTTGCGGCTGAGTTTTGACTCAATTCCAGCAATTGTGTGCTTTGGAAGAACCAAAACAGGGATTTCCGAGAATCCGCTTCCAGGGAGTGAGGGTTTATTTAAAGCCTTTCTCACATAAGCTTTGGGGGGGTGTCCCTCCCTATGCGCATGAGTAAGATAAGTCAGAAACCGGTAACATCTGCACGGCTTTCCTGTGGGGGAGTAGGCACAGCGGTCACTGGGCCTGACTGCCCTGAGAGGGGGGACTCCAGCTGTGGCGTTTTCCAGGTGTGGGAGCAAGTGGCTGGTGCCTGGGCTTTCAGTCTCCAGAAGAGGGGAGAACGTGGTTCCATGTCTCCTTGTTTTTGCTCCTGGAAGTGAAATGCGTGCTAACTTCCCTGTCCCGGATTTCCGTCTCCCTCTTACAGGCTGTGCACTTGGGGATGCGAGCGCTCATCTATCACTCCTCCGCCGGGGGCTCTCACGCCGAGCAGTCGGGCATGAGGACCTACTACTTCAGTGCCGACACCCAGGAGGACATGAACGCCTGGGTCCGGGCCATGAACCAGGCTGCGCAGGTGCTGTCTCGGTCGACGCTGAAGAGGTCAGTCCCAGCAGAGGGTCCCTGGGAAAGTGCTTCCTACCTTAGGATGGGGACCCAAACAAGAACTCCCGAGCGCCCCAAGTTTCACCATTAACCCACTGGTGTTAAGCATTGCCCTCTCTGGGAAGTCCTTCTCAACAATGAATTCTTCTGGGAGGAGAATGCCACGCGTGTTGCCTGTCCCAACCGGCTGGTCTCCTGGGCGTGGGCTGGTCCACGGTCAGTAAACAGAGGCTGGGAGAGTGACATGACTGCCCAGGTTACACCGTCTTGGAACTTGGTGTGCGTTTCTTTTTTTTTTCTTCTCCTCTGTGTGGTAGACGGGACAACCTTGGGACGCCAGTTGGGGAGGAGAGAGAGGGCAAAAAAGATCTTGCAAACTGAGCCACAGACTGCCCACCATGCTATGTTCCAACTGCCCCTTCCCTCCAGTGGGCAAAGTGAGGGTACAATCAGGGATCTTGAAATTCCTGGACCTCTTGGCTGTGGTTGGCTCCTGGAGAGAGCTTGGTTTGCTCAAGAAACAGGAGCTTGGGAGTACTACTGAATCAGAGCAAGGGGTGGAGTAGACTGTGGTAGCATCTGGGAGGTAGATAGTGGTCCATCTCTGGAGGCAGTAGGATCTCTCTGGGCCTTGCTCAGCTGCTCCCCCAGCCCTCACCCTTATGAGGATAACTTCAGTACATCCCCTAGGTCTTAGCCTAAATGTTATTTCCTCCTTCCCTGACCCTTCAGTGTGTTCGATGCCCCTGCTTGTAGCGCGCTGTCTTTCCTTATGCATAGAACTTTCACACTAATGTTGCATGGGCCTGGTTTCTGATTGTTGCCCCTACTAAACTATAAGCTCCTTGAAAATGAGAAGAGTGCCTGGCATGTAGCAAATATTCAGTTATTGAATGGGTACATGGGTGTTTGGCTGGCTGGGCAGGTGGGTGGGTGGATAGATGAACCAAACATCTATAGAAACTCTACCTGTGAGATGTTCAGATAAGGACTTGGGTGTCCCAGACAATCTGAGCAGTGCTGTGGGACTGGTGTGTGGGGACTCAGCCTGCTCAGAAATGGCTCTCTGCACTCTCTTCAGAGAACTGAATATTTGACCTTCTGATCACTTTGGGTAAAGTGTAGCAGGAATACCTGAGGTTGGACAAGCCCTTGGCCACTTGGCAGAAGTAATGAATGCTTAGCCAGGTGCAGGGCTTTGGGGTCGAACCAGGTGAGGTTTGAGTCTTGCTTGTGTCACTGGTTGCATAATCCAAGGCAAGATGGTGAACTTCTCTGAGCTTCGCTTTCATTACCTGTAATGAAAGGGTAAAACTATCATTAGCCTTGTGAGTTTGTACAATGATAAGAAGAGGTCATGCATGTACCGAGCTTGGCTGAGAGTTTTGCACTTACTGAGTGTGCAGTCAGTGATGGCCGTTGCTGCCATAATCCCCATCCCAGCAGAGATAATTTATTGTAAGTAATCCAGCAGGCACCTGACTGCCCTCAGTCTCTCTGGACTTGACAGTACTAACCTTGCAGGCATTAGAGATGGGCTGTGTCGAGTCTGTGGCACACAGTAGGACCCAGCATTTGGTAATAAGAACCAAGCATTGGCCACAGATACTGAATGAGCCAGTACTGTGCCTGCCATGTAGGGTGATGGGAGGTGAGTAGGTGTGGCCTGTGCCAGGGCTGCAGAGGAGCCCAGGTTGAGTTGGGGCTGCTGAGCACCACTTGCTCAGGTAGAAGGAAGAGGGAAGGATTCTCCAGGAGGGACTGAGCAGAGTGAGGAGATCCTGCCGGCGTAGAATACCTTTCCTCTGTTCTTCATCTGGTTTGTCGCACAGGAGACTTCGCCAATAGCCATTCTGCCGAGGCAAGAGGCACCTCACCAGGGCAGTCTAGAGGTTCATTTATTCTTCAGCCTTGCCCTTCTCTAGGGGTGGGCATCTAGGGATTGTGGAGAGTACTCAGAGCTGCCAGGCCCTCTATTGTTCATTCAGAGCAGAACATGAAAGGTAGCCAGATACCTTTTCCCCTCCTGGGGGAACTGACCTAGTTAACTCTGGGGAGAAGCAGAAACCGACTCCTGTCTTCCTTCCCAGCTATTTTCTCCCTCAAATGCTAGGAGCGAATTCAAGCAAGAAAACCTGACTTAGGGATCCCTAGAGACTCCGAGTCCCTTTCTCTTCACTCTTTTGTGCAAGTCCGTGGACTGTGTCCAGCGTGGGTCCTGCTTTGGAGCTCACTGTCCTCCTGAGGCTGAGGGTCAGTGCTGGGACTTGGCATCATCTGTCAACACAGGCTGAGCCGGGATCTCAGGACAGGGCTTCTGCCACTGACCTGGCGCAGACCAGACTCTCCAAGAATGTCAGTGGCCTGGCCCTGGTTCTCGGCTGCTCGTCTTGTTGTTTAGGTGAGGTGAACTGGCAGGGATCCTCCAGTGGGACTGCAACAGAGGGGCTGTATCCAACAATAGGACCAAGGTCCAACCAGGTCGCTCCATGTTGTCATTCCTCTGCCCACCCGTGTCTTCGGATGAGTTTTAATGTGTGTGTTTAGCGTTAAGATAGAGGGGAATGATATTATTTCCTGATGAGATAAGAGTTTGGGATCGAATAAAATGATAACCAGTGCACAGTTGCTTACTATGTTGCTACCTTCCAACTTCTTGTGAAGAAAAGGAACGAGAGAGAAGGTCTGAGATGCGTTCTCTTCCCACTTGCAGTGGAAATAAGAATCTGCTGAAAGCAGACAGAGAGCATGGCTGTGATCTGCTAAAAATGAGGGCATAGCCCCTGCAAATAAAAGGCTTAGCCCCTAATTCAGGGATTGCATTTGGTTGCTAGTCATAGGACAACCTGATTCAGGATGGTGCACTCAAATTGGGCATTCGTTTTCTCAGAGAACAGGAATCCAGGCCGGTATACCAGCTCCATGATGCCATCAGGAGCTCGGTTCTTGCTTTTTACCCAGGTTTCAGCAGGTGGCTTTCATTCACATTGCTGTCACCTTGCTCTCCCGCACGGAAGCTGCATTCTAGGTAGGAGGAAGGGAAGGTTAGCTAAGCCAGCTAAGGCGCCTTCTTTTAAAGACTCGAAGATGTCTGCGTACGTCTTATTGGCTGGATCTGTGTTAGTTACATGATCACCCTCCATCCCAAGGCAGGTTGGGAAATGTATGTTTTTTTTTGCTGGGTACATTGCTGCTTTAACAAATATTGGGATAAGGCAGGAGGGGAGAATAGATGTTGGGAGGTAACCCATTTGCATGTGAAGACACACTGTGCGCCAGACATGCGCTGTGCTTATTCTGTGCATTGTCCCCAACAGTCAAGGAAGGCAGGGGCTGGTGTCCCCATTTTGCATAGGAGGAACCTGAAACCAAAGGAACTTGCCCAGAGGCACCCAGCGTATATTAGGGGGAAGCCAGCACTTGAGTCCAGGCCTGACTAGATCAAAAACCTCTGCCCTCTGGGTTTGTTGTGCTCGGGAAGTGATATATATGGTCCAAATGGTCACCAAATGTCAGAAATGTCCCATGATTTGAACAATATTTGACTCCAGGTGCTTGCAGTGATTGCATTGGCCTGCACAGGAAAGGCTGTGTCATCTTACCTACACATCGATGCCCTGCACGGCCAGCGTCTGAGAGACACAGTCATTGACAGCCGAGGGTGCTTCATTCTTTTCCATCACTGTGCTCTACCGAGCATGGCAAATCTATTTTGTGACAGGTCTCCTGATTCGAAAAGTCATGTGTTAAATTGTTGGAAATAGAAGGAGACAAGGAGAAAGCCAAAAAACATTTTTGCTTTCAAGCCTATAACTTAGTAAATTCAATGGTGAAGTCGGGTGGAGTAAGGAGCATTACCTCCCCTTTCTTACCCGTAGAGCTATAGTCAAACATTTTGACCACAAAGGCATTTCCTCTATGGCCCAGCAGCCATGGGACTAGGAGTTGTTCACAACCCCAAGTCTTAGGGCCTAGAATGCTGCCAGACTACCATTCTTTTATCTGTTCTCTAAAGCCTTGTTTTGTAGTAAATGTTGGTGCTAATCTGAAGAGAAGGATTTGTCATTCCCTATCAAATTTATCTTCAGAAAGGACTCACATACACAAGGGTGTGTGCCTCATGTGTAGACGTACAATAGGACTAAGATTGACAGTAATAAGGTGGAAAAGCTTGGCACACTCCATGATTTGAAGTCAGTTTATGGGAACAGTTTATTAGATGGGATGTTAGGATCGTCTGGCTTTGACCTAGATGTGTACATTGTGGAACAGAGTTGTCACTTCATAAATTTACTGTAAGAATTGCTTTTTCTAAAAGTGTAGAACCTGAATAGTTTCTATATGTTCCTTCTGCTGGAGCTTATAGGAATGAAAAGGCCCTCAGAGATCATCATCTAAATATGTCATTATGAAATGATATAATAGGATTCCTTCCACTATAAGTAACAGAGACCAAACTCAAACTTGCTTAATGAGAAAGACAAGTTATTGGTTCACAAACAAAAAATACAAATATTTACCTGGTTTAGGTATGGCTAAATCTAGGAACTCAGCATTTAGGATCCTGTTTCTCTCCATCCGCTTTCCTTGGTGTTGGTCTTATTTTCAAATAGTTGCTTTCCACACAGTTGTAGCAGTTCAAGACCAGCTCCAACCAGTGTCCCAGGGCTACCTCTGATTGGCCTGGATTAAGTCATGTGTCCACCCCTGAACCAGTCACAGAGACGTTGGAGCCTCAGCTGGGCAGGAAATAGAACAGTGGGCAGCTTCCACACCCCAAATGAAAATTGAAATGCTGTTACCAGAAGGTATAGGAAGTGGGGGCAAAGAGGTCCCCTAGTGTTAGATAAAGGGCTGTCCAGAGTTTGTTGTTGTTGTTTCCTGCAAAGCTTTGTTTTTTTATGGAAAAGTCAGGAGCACATGGGTTGTGTTCCTATTCTCCAGGCCAAGTTAAGGCCAACAGTTAGTACTCACTAAGAAGTAGACCCTGTGTTAGGGGGTGTATTTTCACTTTTTATTGACATTTTAATTCTGTTTTAGCTCCCAGACCGAATTGGTTTTGCCTTGAATCTGTGCTGAGTATTGGTAGCTGAGGTTATGTGGCCATTGCAAGGCCCCGTGGGTCTGGCCGCCCAGATGTAAATGCAGCAGCATTTCCATTGTTCTTTCATGTTGAAATTGAGAGATCTCTGGCTTGGCCGCTTGAAGAGTGATGGATCTCAAGGCCAGGACTTTGTCACCATGGGGTACACATAAACTGGCTGCCCCATTCAAGGGTCTCCGGCAATTTTCCTGGTCCTTCTGGGATGGAGTGTTTACCCCTCTTTGCCTCCCCAGTCTAAATTCTGCAAAGCTTGAGCCGCTGCTGTGCCCCTGGTACCAGATAGTGGGAATGTTCCTTATGTTGCCATTGCTCTTGGGGCCGTGCTGGCAGCCAACGGGCTCAGGAGCCTTTCTGTCCAAGCAGGACCGCCTCAGACACATGGCAATATGGCAAAGTATGAGACTGTCATTGTATCATTTACTCACTTACAGAACGCTTGTTCTGTAACAGTCTCTGCACACAAGTTCTGGGCATCTGATGCTTGGCAGGATGGGCCTCTCGCCTGATGGAACTCAGTCTACTTGGGCCAGTTGGGCCAGGGTGACCATAGACGGTGAAGGTGCTGATCTAGACTGGGTCCATGTGGCTGGGGTGGCTTCCAGGAGGTGGTAACATTTCGGTCAGACTCCAAGGAGTAGACGTTTAAGTGGGTGGAGTGAGGGACTGGGCATAAAAGGTGGTCCAGGCAGAGGGAACAGCCCGTGCAAAGGTCTGGAGGTAGTATGAGTGCCTGGGGGGTGCGTTGGCTGCCAGCTGTGCTGTCTGGATCGGGCTGAATGTACTGCTGTCGTCCTTGCAGGGACCTGGAGAAGCTGGAGCGGCAGGCAGTCCCCCAGGTCAACCACGCAGAGTCCTGTCATGAGTGCGGCCGCGTGGGACCCGGACACGCGAGGGATTGTCCTCATCGCCGCCACGAGGACTCCTACGGCTACGAGAGGCGGGAGCAAGAGGAAGAACGGTACCGTTCCCACCCATCCGAGGGCAGGAGGGACAGGAGCAAGACCAGGTCCCCGTACTCGCCGGCTGAGGAGGATGCCTTATTCGTGGATTTACCCGGCGGCCTGCGAGGCCAGCAGGCACAGCCCCAGAGGGCAGAGAAGAATGGCATCGCGTATGGCCCAGGAGAGCAGAATGGGACTGGCGGATACCCGCGGGCCTTTCCTCCCAGGACCAGCCATGAAAAGCACAGCCAGAGGAAGAGCAGCCTGGCCCAGGTGGAGCACTGGGCGAAGTCCCAGAAGGGTGATGGCAGGAGGTCAGTAACAGAGCTAAATCGCTGCTACCTATGAGCAAAATAACGCAGTAACGGGCACTGTCATTTACCCAGCATGCACTGGGTAACTGGCCTTAAACTCTCTACCTCCATTATCTCAAAAAAATCCCATAACAATTCTGCAGGGAGAGGGAATAGTCCCAATTTATAGATGAGGAGACTAAGGCTGGGGGAAAGGGAAGGAACCTACTCAGGGCACACAGATAAGTGGCAAAGACATTGTTCAAATCTGGGCCTGCAGGCCTCCCGAGCCACATGAGATAGCATGAAGTTCTTTGTTCCCCAGGGAATGCACTTTGAGACAGTCAGCCTATATTGACAGTAACCCCTCTTCTCCCTTTACCTGCTCCTTCTCTGCATCCAGGAAGTAGTTACAGAAACTAGAGTAAGTGCAGGCCCGTTTTTAACTCCCAGCACATAGAGTGGCACTTAGACACTGCTGACTTAGGCTCCACCATGCCCATCCCTTCAAGAAGCAGTTTTCAGTGATTTAGGGCACGTGAATCCTTGCTATTTGCAAAGCATTGTCTGTACTTTATTATCATTTTAGATTAATTAGGGCACATTTATGAACGTGAAGCTTCCATTGTCCCCAGAAGCCCCTGTGTTTTGCCTTCATTGTTAAGACAGCAGAGCCTAGAGAGTCTTCCCCCTCACTGTCCTCAGGCTTGTGAAACAAACCACCGGCTGTAGAGGTGAGAGCAAGGCCTGGGTGCGTTCAGAAAGTGCCCCCTGCGCCAGAAAGACCCGGGGAAGTACCAGAGCTCAGGCCGCATCTGCTACAGCCTGGTAAACGTGAGCTGACTGCCACACTTCATTCTCCCTGTTGGCAAGTGGGCTCTCCACCTGCAGGCTCTGCAGGCAGCAGCGCTCCCAGGGGAATAGCACAGGCCTGCTTTCCAGCATGTGGATTATGTAACCTCTTTAATCCGGTCCAGGTGGACAGTCGTGAGGATAGATGGTGGAGAAGTCACCGTGGATCCCCCTAAGCAATTGGTAGATATGGTTGTAGGCCAGACCGGGAGAAGGAGGGATTTTGTGTCATAGCTGAGATGCTTACCCATCCTCACTGGGACTGACCAGGTGTCGGTTTGTTCACATTTGGTGTCTTATGGAAAACAGAAGCTCTGCTCAAGGACCCTGGAGGGCGCTGCTGTGCTCGGTGCTGGACAAGGTGGTTGTAAGTGATGTTCCTGCTGAATGGGCTGGGAAAGCTGGGTCCTCAGATTAATGTGCAGGTCGTCAGATTAATGTAAGGAGTTTGGGTTTTATTTGAAAAAGCAACAGGGGGAACCACTGGAAGGATTTTTTTTTATAAGTATATTTTAATTTTTAAAATTTTCACAATTTAAATAAAATTCAGCTAGTTAACATAAACACAGAGGAAATGTACATAATTTACAGCCATGTACAGTATACAATAGCAACCCTCATATAAATGGTCAAAAGATATCAACTCTTAAAGTTGATTATTAGCTATGACTTTGAAAGGTCAAGATTTAATTGGTCACATATATAGGGGTACACATTCAAAATGTTTATTAATATAAAAACTGAGTGAAACTAGAATTTTCAGTTTCTAAAAGGAGTAGCATAAGCCCTAACCATTTTGGCTCAGTGGATACAGTGTTGGCCTGCTAGATTCAATTCCAGTCAAGGGCATGTACCTTGGTTGCGGGCACAACCCCAGTAGGGGGTATGCAGGAGGTGGCTGATTGATGTTTCTCTCTCTTCAATGTTTCTAACTTTCTATCCCTCTCTCTACAAAGATCCAATAAAAAAAATATAAAAAATAATAAAAGGAGTAGCATAAAAAGTAGTATATATCTTAACAAGAAATATAAGGGCATGACAGAGAAGAGATCTGAGTAGGCAGAAAGTTAGTACATTATGTTTTTATATAAATGTTTTTATATAAAGACATAGTTCCTTCCAACTTATGGAAGGAACTATGTCTTTAAGAATGTTGAAGTCATGACCAATATTAGAGGAAAAAGCTAAACTATTACATTTGTCAGCCCCGAAAGGGCCCCTATAGGTAGCATTAACAGTCTGGGCAGAAGAGCATGTAAACAATGAAGGACAGGCATGAACAGTACTGGGAGAGCAAAGGATAGATTGATTTCTAGCATTGAAACCCTTCAAGTTCAAATTAATCTTTTGAGTGATTTAACACAAATCAAAAAATATTGACATGTTTATTCTTCAATAAAATTAAACATTCATTTTTAATCCAAACTCTGTTGGTCCTAATATACTAATGTTTTTCTACAATAGGCATTAGGTTTTAGGAGACAAAAGTCTGGATTAAATTATCTAATAATATTCTACTCTTGGTTTCGAAGTTATATAAATCAATTACTTGTGGGCCCATCCTTAAAGGCTGGTTCCACAGTTACATACATAATAAGAATTAAGACAAGGCTTTGGTGATAGTTTTTTTTCCTGGACTTAAAAGCATGATGGAACCCCACAATCACAGGGTTTGGTAATTCTCATATTTGGACTTTGAAATTTAGAAGACTATTTTCTATGGGCCACAAGTACCTTAAATCCAGAGTTCTTTCTGCTGCTCTATGAGGGTATGCTGTTTCAGTATCTACTGCTTTAACCTGAATAAGTTCAGTTTAATTTTGAGAAGATTCTACAATAAAAGTACATACCCATCTGAAGAGTGCCAACCACCTCCAATAGTGTATAATAAAAGGCTAATATGCAAATGACAAAATGGTGGAATGACTGGTCACTATGATGCGCACTGGCCACCGGGGGCAGACACTCAATGCAGGAGCTGCCCCTGGTGGTCAGTGTGCTCCCACAAGGGGAGTGCTGCTCAGTCAGAAGCTGGGCTCATGGCTGGTGAGCACAGTGGCAGTGGTGAGAGCGTCTTCTGCCTTTGTGACAATGTTAAGGATGTCCAACTGATGGCCTAGTGGGCCTAAACCATCAGTTGGACATCCCCCCAGGTCTCCTGGACTGCGAGAGGGCACAGACCAGGCTCAAGTTCCTCCCCGCCCCCCCCACCAAGTGCACAAATTTTGTGCACCAGGCCTCTAGTTTAGAAATAAAATGTTATCTGATAGAAAATAGATGAAAACAAAACACCATTTTTTTAAAAAAAGTTCAATGCTTTAAGCCTGCATTTTTCTTTTTAAACATTTGTCTCAATTAAAAACAAGTTCTACAAAGAAATGTTTCAGAGGCAAATTTTATAAATATTTTGTAGTGTCGTCGTACCCCCCCCCCCCCCCCCCCAATTATCTCTGTCAGACATAAAGTACACAGCAGCAGACTGTGCTTTGGGTGGGTGGGGGTGGGGGGGGGAATGAACAAAAACAAACAACCTTGCTCCTTTCCAGTTGTTGCACAAAGAAATGGCTTAAGACTAAGACCTTTTCCTTCCAGTGCATACACAAAACTCACTTTTAAAAGCTAGATATAATGCGCTAAAGGTCAGGGTAAGTTTTACTTGCTCAGTACAAACAGGAATACCACTGGAAGGTTTTAGGAGGTAAGTGATATAATGTGATTAATAATCCACAAAGCGCCTGGGGAGGAAGGAGGCTGTCGTAGTGGCCGGGATGGGTGACAACGGAAACAGAAAGAGATTGGAGGTGCATTTTAGAGGCTTAAAAATCAAAACTTGTCCATGAATGGGAAGTTCGGGATGAGAGAAAGGGAGGAACAAAGAAGATCCCTAGAATTTTTACATGAATAACTGGGTGGTTCCGATGTGGGGAGGGTTCAGAAACTAGTTTTGGGGAAGCCAGGGTTTCCATGTTGGACATAGAAGTTTGAGAAACCTATTAGCTACCCAAGGGCAGATGTCAGGTAGGCAGTTAGATGTGGATGGGGATGTTGGGGTTTGAGGGCTGGTTGGGCATGCCAATTGGGGGCAATCGGTGTAAATGGTACCCCAACACTTAGAAGTTAGCAGCAGGAGCGGGATCCTGCATGAGAAGACTGTGGTCAGAGGGAAACTCATGATAAGTTAGCCATTTCCTCTTCTGTGCAGCTCTTAGGAACTGAAGTCTGTGTAGAGCTGGCTCGGGGAGACAAAAGCAGGAGACACCAGGCATTGGGGCAGATAGGAAGGGCAAGGGTGGACCCCGATGAGCCTGTATTTCCGGATGGAAAGTTTGGAAATAAGCCTGAGGCCCGTGAAAACCATTGGTGGACTTTCAGCAGCAGCCTGGCATGGCACTGTGACTGAGAATGGTTCACCAGGCATTGGCAGAGAAAAGCGGTATGGCGGAAGGAATTCCTCAAGCTGAGAGACTGCTGTGCAGTTATAGGTTATTCATGGTGAAATGTCTCCACATAACTGTTTCTGGCAGCCCACAAACCCGCATTATTCTGCTACACACAGTGGTCTGTGTTTGGGGTTGGGGGTGCCCCTTGGGAGCTGGAGGGTGAGAAGTCAACACCAGCCGATAAGAGGTGGCTGGCGAAGGCATTTGGCTGTTCCTAGGATGTGAGACGGGAGTTCGAGCCCTTCTTATCTGAGGGGCAGGGTGACATCAGGTCTGTGGATGAAAACAGTCCGTTGACCTTGGAGGTCACTGAGCACGCGGTGAGAAGAGCTTCAGACTAGTGGTAGAAGCCCTTCTCAGTGGGCTGAAAAGCAAAAGTGAGGGATGAAGGCAGAGTGAACTGCACTTTCGGGAAGAAAGCTGTCAGTTTCTGAGTAAGCAAAGGGCTCTGTCTCTAGATCATTCACTGCTGTCTTGAAAGGACTGAGTGAGCCTTGCATTCCCGGAGTTGTGGTTTTTGTTTGTTTGTTTGTTTTGTTTTGTTTTCTTAAAGATATATTTGGAATCTCTTACTGTCAAGAAATAAGTTGAGCTGGCTGCTTAGTGTAGGGACCACCTCTATTTGAAAATCCTTGTTTTGTGTATGATTAAGACTGCTAATTTCATTAGATTGAGCAAGTTGGACATGGGAAGGAGAGTTGGTTGGGCTGTCTTAGGATCTTGTGTGGCTCTAGACCACAAGAAATTGTTTATAACTGTTCTTTCAGGACTTGGAGATATATATTTCACATCCATACACTCCTTTCTAATGATGGTTTGTGGGGAACCGGCTGGCGTACCCTTAGAATCTTAGCACATTCTAAGAGGTTGGTTTGAAATGCCAGCCTTCTATTGTCCCTTGGTATTTAAATTAACGCACACTTTTTATAAAATAGAAAGGCGGGGGTGGGGTGGAATCAGGGACTCAAACATCAGCGACTGGAAGAGTAGGAAGTGAAAGTCCTACACAGTTGATATGGAAGTGAGGGTGAGGACGGTCTGCTGGATAAGGAATTGGTGATAAAATTTGAATTTATATTCCGATGGCGACCATTTTATAGTGGCTGTGTCAGCATTTCCTGTTTGCTTTGGTGCCTTTTGGAGCGGGGAGGCCCCATAGCCACAGAGCAGGATGTGAGGGCAAGAGACCCTGAGCACTCTTTTGGGGGCCAGCAGAGGGTCTGCTGTCAGAACAAAGCTGCTTCCAGGGTGACCTTTATGTCATCTTACAGTCCTGTCTACCTCCTGGTCCTTCCTTTGGAACCAGGGCTCGCCATGGCACTGGGGTCTTTGGGGTTGCCTCTACAGGGCCAGCACCATGGGTGGAAGGTGGGGAGTGACAGGGTAGAGGACAAGCTGAGGGCTTTGGGCACTGCCCAGTGGGGTCTCTGACCGTGGGACACATAGGTAGGCACCGGTAGGCTGCAGAGCCACTCCGAAGGGGGGTGGGAGCACAGGTAGGACATGCTTTGTATACTTTGCATTTTGTCCAGGCAGAGTGAACAGTGGTTAGTAAAGTCATAAGCTCCCCAGGAGGAGCCCAGCCTGGTTTGTGCCACTGTCATCACCGCTGTTAGAGGATTCAGGCACTGCCCCTTCCTGAGACAGGGTCCCCTCTGACGCTGGGAAATCAGCAGCAAACCCTGCCACCTAGTGGCAAGGAGACAAGCTACACAGACACTAGACAAATCTGGGTTGAAGAGGTCTCATTACCTCTTGTAATTGCAAAGGTAATGATGAAAAGGGAGAGGAAAGCTACCATTTTTGAATGACAGCTATTTCTATTTAAAACCTGTTTTTGTTGATTTTGGAGAGAGAGGGAAGGAGAGGGAGAGAGAGGAGGAAACATTAATTGGAGAAAAATATTCAACATTGATCAGCTACCTCCTTCACGTCCCCTACCTGCCCTCAAGCCCTGACCAGCGACTTGTTAGTGCATGGGTCATTGCTCAACCACTGAGCACACTGGCCCGGTGCATGACAGCTATTTCTAATCCTCACAACAATCCACTGAACGGTTCTTCCAGTTCCCACTTTATAGTGAGGAAAGTGAGGGTATACGTGACACCCGAAGACATATTGTCAGGAAGAGATGAAGTGAGATGAGTTTTAAAACAACTAGAATGGTTTTAGAACAATTATAAAGTTAGCCACCTCAGGCCTTGTTAAAGCACAGGTGTCTAGGCCCCACCCCCAGAGCTTCTGACTTGGCAGGTTTGGGTGGGACCTGGTAACCTGCCTGTCTGACTGCGTGGTGGTGCTGATGCTGCCGCACCACGTCTTGCTCGTGGTACGCACTGTGTAAAAGAGGTGTGTTGGGTAAAGTTGGTGGATAAAGGCAGGGTCAGGACTTCAACCCAGGCCTGTCTGATTCCAACCCCCGCTCTCTTTGGACAACATGCCGCCTCTCCGGTTTGACTTTTAAGGCTGAACACATCGCTACACTTGGCCCTTTGCTGAATTTTTGTTTCGCAAAATAAGATGGCAGGTTGGTTGTAGTATTCACAATCGTATCTGGCTTTTGTGTGCCGGCGTATTCGTTAAAGGGCTGTTTATGCATGAAGACTTTCTTAGACCGTGGGCTGGGAAAGAGATGTCTTGCAAGTATGACAAGGACCTCAGAACAGTTACCGACGGTCCAGTCACCACGTCAGAGCAGAGCAAGAGCCCGAGGGCTGCGGCATTGCCGAGGCCGCTGTGGACGGGTAGTGTCCTGGAGAATGAGTGAGTTAGGGTGCACGGGGCACGGGGAGCCCATGCAGGTGGGGGAGGGAAGAGCAATATGAGAATGAGGACAGCTGGGAAGGGAGCACCTGCTTGTGAAGGGCCTTCTGTGCATCAGGCAAGGAGTCTGCATTCTCCTGTGGACCCTTCAGAACAGCTTATGAGGCAGGTAATTCTGTCCTCATGATCCAGTTCGGGAAGCTGAGCCTCAGAGCAGTGTGCAAGCTGCCTAGGGTCATGTCACCAGGGAATGCCAGAGCCAGGACTCAACCCCAGTCCGCCGGCCTCTGCCTTTTCCACATGTTGCCCAGGGGTGTAGGAGGCTGGGCGGGATTAGGGGGGAGCTCTGAGTCTTGGGCTCCAGGAATTACAGGGCCACATCGGATGAGGGGGGGCCTCCTGGCCTGTTGGGCCAGAGATGCCCGGCTTGCCCCAGCTCAGTCCTGGTCCCAGTAGGAGGAGCGGTGAGAAGACAGCAGGGCTGCCAAGTGGGTTGGGGTCAGGAGAAGGGGTTTAGATTTCATGGGCAGTGAGGGGCCGTTGAAGTTTCTGGAGCATGGCAGTGACTGGATCTAAACACTTGACTGCACACTGCGTGGAAACTAGTAAGGAAGGTCTCAGTGTTGTCTTGGGGCACAGGGGTTCATCAGTCGGTATGGAGACTAGAATAGTAGAAGAAAGGAACCGACGTCAGCCACCCCATTGAGACCCTGCAGGACTTGGAGTGGCGACACCGCACAGAGGCAGCGTCTCGGAAGAGCTGACGGGCGTCAAGTGGGAGAGGAGAAGGCAGGGTCCCTTCCTTGACGTGATGGGCTTGGGGTGGCCAGGCTGGCCTGGTAGCGGGTTGACACGCCGAGGCTGACAGGGGAAATGGCTCTGCAGTCCTTTGTCAAGAGACGGAAGTCCTGGCTTGTCCGCTTTGATGGTTCTCTGTGGGGTTCTTACAGGGCTCGCTCACCGGCCGGGCCTGGCACCTTTACTTAGCTGTGTGTGCAGATGCCCGCAGACCCCGGCATCCTCTCACCTGTCCTCCTTCCTCCTCAGCCTCCCCCAGGACCAGACCCTTCCTCGCCACGGGCCCAGCCAGCCCCTGTCCTTCCCGGAAAGCTACCAGACGCTTCCCAGGAGCACCCGTCACCCCTCGGGGAGCTCCTCGCCTCCTCCCCGCAACCTGCCGAGCGACTACAAGTACGCGCAGGACCGAGCCAGCCACCTGAAGATGTCGAGCGAGGAGCGCCGGGCACACCGGGACGGCACCGTGTGGCAGCTCTACGAGTGGCAGCAGCGCCAGCAGTTCCGGCACGGCAGCCCCACGGCGCCCATCTCCCCGGAGTTCCCCGAGCAGGGCCGCAGCAGGAGCATGCTGGAGGTGCCCCGCTCCATCTCCGTGCCTCCGTCTCCCTCCGACATCCCTCCCCCGGGCCCCCCGCGGGCCTTCCCGCCCCGGCGGCCGCACACGCCCGCGGAGAGGGTCACCGTGAGGCCGCCGGACCAGAGGAGGAGCGTGGACATCTCATTGGGCACTTCTCCCAGGAAGACCTGGGGCCACGCCACCAAGGTGAGGCTCTGGGATCCCTGCCGGGCGGCGGGGGGGGGGGCCAGCATTAGGGCACCAGGAGCCTCACGTGGTGTGAACACACATCTGAGCAATTGGCAGTAATGACAGGTCACACGTACGCAGTAATTTCGGGTGTCAGGTGCAGGGCTAAAGGAGTGACTTAGTTACTTTAATTTTTACAACAGCCCAAAGAGGTTGGTGCTGTCATTATGCCTGTTTCACTGATGAGAACTCTGAGGCATTAAGAAATGAGTAACATGCTGAAACCAGCTTGGCTCAGTGGATAGAGCATCAGCCTATGGACTGAAAGGTCCCAGGTTTGATTTCAGTCAAGGGCGTGTACTTTGGTTGCGAGCACATCCCCAGGTAGGGGGTGTGCAGGAGGCAACTGGTCGATGTTTCTCTCTCATCAGTGTTTCTAGCTCTCTCTCCCTCTTTCTTCCTCTCTGTGAAAAATCAATAAAATATATATTTTTCTTTAAAAAAAGAAAGAAATGAGTAAACTTGCCTGGGGCCAGACAACTAGAAGTCTGCTTCCTTGCAGCTTGGAAGGCAGGAAAAGCTGTCCATGTTCAGTTTAATCAACTATAATAATAATAATAAAAGGGTAATATGTTAATTAGGCCAGATGTCCTTCTGGACAAAGCAGGGGCTAAGAGGGAAGCCCGGGTCCTGGGAACCAGAGGGAAGCCGGTGCCGGCAGTTGGGGGAAGGAAGGCCTCTTCTTGCATAAATTGTGTGCATCGGGCCTCTAGTGTATAATCAGATTAAGTGTTAAGTCATCAAGGGGCTTTCACAGTCTGTCACTGCCATAACCGGTGAGAAAGGGGTGCATCCCCATTGTACAGATGAAGAGGGAGGTTCAGAGAGGTGCCTGAGGCAGGCTGCTCTGGGAAGTGAGTGGTGGAGGTTCTGGCCCCAGCCCCGCCCCCTTGCCGGGCCCTCAGTGTGACTTCTTCTCTCCCCACCTGCAGAACTCCTCGCACGTGGACCGGCGCTCCATGCCCTCCATGGGTTACATGACCCACACTGTCAGCGCTCCCAGTTTACACGGAAAATCGGTAAGCGGGGCTTCATCCCCCCCTCCAGGCGAATGATTCAGAGCAGCCTGCAAAGGGTTAATCTCGTCTGATCCCCCCCCCCCCCCCCCCCCCCCCCCCCCGAGCCAGTCCAAAGCAGTCTGCAGGGCAGCTATCAGCCCCCAATGTAGAGATGAGGAATCTGAGGCTCAGAGAAGTCGGATGACTTGCTCAGGGTCACGCCGCCAGCGTTGGGTCCTTCCCGGATCCGATGAAGAGCTTGGGGAAGTGGAAGAGAGCTGTGGGCTCTTCTCTTTCGGACAGCGTTTTCCAGCCACCGGCTCTCCTCTCGTTAGCGCCTCTGCTGGTCTTTGCTTTGATTAGTTAACCATCTCCGAAGTGTGAGTCTGGGTGAGGGCCGCTGCTGGCTGCTGTTTTCTGAAAAGAAAAAAAAAAAGGCACTTCCTGCAGCCCCTTTCCCGCCAGTGCCTTTATTTGTCCTAATGACAGAATTAATGCAGTAATTGCCTAATGGTGTCACATCAGTGCTGTCCCAGCACGGGGCGAAGAGTAATTATAGCGGCGCGCTCCTGCGGTGGCTAATTTCCTCGTGATGTGTCTGCACACCTGCAGCTGGAGGAGCTCTCGCTGCTTCTCACCCGGTTACGGCGGCACCAGGCCAAGCTGGCCAGTGTGCGAGACTTCGCCATGGGCCACTTACTGCAGCACCAGCTGGCCTTTCCCACCTGCCAGGTCAGCACCCCAGGTCCCCGGGGCCGGGGGCCAGCCCGGAGGCAAGGGAGTGACGTGCTGGCCCATGTCCCCTCGTGCCACGCTCTGGTCTGTTCTTGCTGCTGTCTGGCTCTCTCCCTCGTTCCCTGCCTGTTTGCTTCTGGATGCGACTGCCAGACGCCGCGCCAAGGTGGTGGGGCCCGTGCGTGGGCACCGGGGAGAAGGCTGCATGTGGGGTGAGGGCTCTGACCTGTGGCTTCTCTGGCTGTGAGTGGTGACCGGCAGGCTGGTGTGTGGCCATGTCCGAGGGGCTGTGCTGGCTGTCGTCCTTGTTACCGCCGTGGGTGTTCCTGGGTGCCTGAAGGTGGGTGCTGGCCTGGAGGGAGAAGGCAGAGTGCCCAGCCGATGGAACAAGCAGCCTCACGTCCCGTAGCCTGGCAGGCCTCACAGGGACCCAGGAGAGGGTAGGTAGGCAGGAATGGTTAGCACGCAGCAGGCAGAGGATCAAGAAGGGAAGTCGCTTGCCCGGCTAAGCATCCAAAGCCCAGGTCCGGCCTGCACAGTGTCCAGGCAGTTGCCCTCCCAGCATCTGGAGCAGCTTAAAGAAGATGCCGGTGCAGACGGGACTGGTCTGAGTTGCACAGATATCGGCAGAAGATAGAAGGCGACAATTCCGTTGCCCTCCTTCCTTGTCCTGTTTTAGTGGGACCTGAGGGACTCAGGAAATGTGCTTGGGAGGAGGAAAGCAAGGGAACACTTACAAAAACCCTAAGTTGAGAATGCGGGTGTTTGTTTAATAACATTCATTATAATAACATTAACTTATTAATGATTTAATAGCATTGCTCTGTGCTTCTTACTGCTGTGGAAAGTGGATAGGAACCAACAATAAAAAGGAAAGAAGTGTGGAGGGACTGGGCTGATTAAGGACCTGGGGAAGGGGAGGGAGACAGTGTAGGGGCAGCAATAAGATCTTGCTGATTAGTGTCCCTGGCGATGGTCCTTCAGGCCTTCTCACGCTTAAAAGTGCTGCCCGAATGTGTCGCACTGTTCGTTTGTGTGTGCGCGTTTTATGTCAGAGCTGTAAATGGGCCGTCTGCCCAGCCATGCTCGCCTCGGCTTGCTGGAGGCCTCTTCGTCGGCTGAGAAAGTGCCTGGGCTGCTTTTGAAACCTCTCGGCCTCACAGTTAGCGTCCGTGACCTTTGCTTGGGAAGCACAAGTCCTAGGAGAGCAGTCTTTTCCTTGTCCTCACTCTTCCTGGGAATGATGCTGAAGAACTCAGCACTTGTGGAGAGTACCTTGGTTGCGGACACATCCGTGCAAGCCGATAGGTCTGACGCTCGCCTTTCCTCAGGTAGCTCCTGACGTGGGCACTCTGGTGCCACGCTGAGCAAGGAAGCCAGAACGTCCAGGAAACTTTCAGTGTCTACTGGTATTTATTATTCTGAAAGCCAAGGTCAAAAGGGGACATCCCTGGGCCATCTCTTCCAGGCATTTACCCATTCCAGTCCTGGGTCACTTTGCTTCATGCATGTGAATAACTCGGTGCAAAGGTTTGATGACAACATTTGTGGCGTGTCCTCTCCCAGGTGGACCTCTGTAGTTGTCTCAGGAGATCGCCTCCGCCTCCGTGGCATTGCTGTCCTAGCCTTCTGGTGGGATGTGTGCCGTCCCCCTCCTTGCCATCAAACCGCCCCCTCAGCTGATGAGGGGACAAGCTGGCTTTCCCCACAGCGACCTGCAAGATCCACCCTGCTGAGAGCGGGCTCCAAGCTGCACTGAGACGTTTGTGCTTTCTCTGTGGCCCGGGAAGTGTTGGTCTGCTGTGGTCCCCGTCCCCGACGCTGTGCAGTGTAAATCGTTCACGAAGCCCTGAGTTACGGAAACCCTTGCTGTTCGTAACTGGGTTCTCTCTGCTTCCTTTGAAGGCCGATGATACCTACCTCCAGCTGAAGAAAGACCTGGAATACCTGGACCTAAAGGTGAGCCACATCAGGGATTCGCGCCCCCTGGACACTCACCTGACTGAGCGCGTCCGCTCCATCGTAGCCAAGCCAAAGCCAAAGACAGTGCAGGGATCCCAAATCCTCAAATCTGGATCCCAAAGGGAGGCGGCTGCTGTCTAATCAGAGGCGTTTTATTTCTCACAGCCTCAGATTCGGTGCTTAGTTTCTTGTGAATTCTGCGGTGAGGTGTCTGTCTTACCGAATGAGGCCACGAGATTCGGATCTCTTCCTGTCCTTGGTCAGAACCCAAAGGTCCCTCTCAATAACCACCGGCTGCTTCCTCAAAGCCTGCCGTGGGGTGGGGCTGAGTTTGGTTCAGAGAAGCTCCTAGTGTGTGTGTGCTTTTGGTCCCAAGTAGGCCAGCGGATTGTTCGCTGCTGGGGAGACGGTTCCATGTGGAATTAGTGGCTCTGAGGGGTGCCGTCTCTCCCACCCCCACTTAGGAGACCCTCACTGGTGATAAAGCTCTGGGCTCCAATCAGCCTCCATGGCCCAGGGAGCCTGAGGAAGCCATGGCACCGAGAGGCCTGCCTGGCAGCTGCTGCTGTGGCATTCACCGGGCTAGCCCCTCTGAAAACTCCCACTGTGACGGCACTTCCTGTGCCTGAGTCATGAAATAGGCAAAAGGACCCTGACCTTTAACTTCAGGCATGAGAGGCAGGCGAGGGCTGTGGGAAGGCACCCAGGTGACAGCACCCATGGGGCATGCCTCCTCCAGTCTCCGGGGTACCTGGCTTGAGAGATTTTTAACGGGGATTGTCATCCAGCCTTGTAGAAGCGGACTACGATCCTCAGACTCTATGGCAAGCTGTTTAGAAATCAACTAATTAATTGACTTCTGTATCTAGTGAGCACTTGCTGTGTACTCTGCTCTGGAGAAGGAAGGTGCAAGTGTAAAACCAAGGCTGTCTGGGTTGGGGAAAGAAAGCATCCCCAAATAACAGACTAATGTACAAAAAAATGTGGCCCAGTGCTCAGAGCGGAGGTAGCGAGGCTCTCCATGGGCTGCCGGGCTGGGAAGGCTCCCGGAGGAGGTGGCTTGTGAGTGGAGCCTGGAAGAGCCAGAATAGTTGGGTTGGCTGAGATGAAAGGGAAGGGGATGGAGGGAGCCAAGGAGAGCCGGGGAGGGTGGTGTGGCCGTGGCCTCAGAAAGTGGAGGGTGGCTCATTCATGCTTCTGTCTCAAGCTTCCAGAAGGAAGGTACGGTGAATAGAAGTCTGACTTTGTTTTTGGACACGAGCAAAACAGGGTTCTCTCAAAACCAGGGCATTTCCTAGTGCACGTGGCGTGAACGAGGATTCTAAGTGTGGCAGTAAGGCCTCAGGGTGCAGGAGTGCTCAGGCGTAGGCGTGGGCTAACCACGCAGCCCAGCCCGTGCTCCCAGGTCCTGATGGGACAGAGCAGAGTCCTTCCACCACCCCCACCTGACCTCCATCTGCCACCTGTGCCCCCACATCCCTGGTCCCCGGCCCTCCTGATGCCAGCCACCATGTCGCTGTGTCTTCTCATCCCTGTTCTGGGGCCTCGCCGTCGGCACAGAAGGGTTCGTTGAGCATCCACGTCCTCGGGCCGGGCAAAGGCTCAGCCCGGCAGCCGCACGGGTGTGTGTGAGACACTCTTCGCCACGCTCGGTGCACAGGGCGAGAGGAACTTAATGAGGTGCCTGGGCCAGAAGCCTGGGAGTGGCCGTCTTCTGACCCCTGTTTGTGGCAGAGAGCCGAAACGCACAGTTGTCCTGGAGTAAAGATTCAGCCCAGACTGTAGGATTGCCGTCAAAGGGATTCTAGAGAGAGGGAAACCAAGGCACAGGATAGCAGAGCAGAGCCAGGAGGCCCTAGGTGTCCTGACTTGCAAGAGAAGCTAAAAGGCAATTTAGGGTGTCATGCGTGCCGGCCATTGTGCTTTGCTCTGATTCAGTTTGTGAGCCTCTCTGGGAGAGAGGGGGCGGATTATTTCATATAGACTGGAGCTCTGAGAGAGAAATGACTGTCTCAAAGCCACGTGCGCAGGTACTGGGGAGTCAGTATTTATGTGTTGCTCTGACTCTGGAGCTCATGCTCTTAATCCCCTTTCCTCCCAGACTTCCCTAAAAGTCTCCATCTACCACCGTGCACCCAGAGGAGTTCAGTGTTTTATGGAACCGAGCTGGGGGTCATGGTGCCAGGAACTGGGTTTGATGTGATGGAGGCAAGGTGTGTCCTTGGGGCTTGTCACTGGCTGGGAGCTGTGTGTGCCCAGAACATTAGCACTTGGAAGTTGTCGCTGTTTGTCATGGGCAACAGCGGTGTTGATGCCCGGGCTTCCCTGGTCTTGTGGATGTTGCTCCAGTTGCTGGCTCCTCTTGGAGAACTAGTCCCCCCGGTCAATGGGCCAGAAGCCCGTGTGGGAAGAGATGCTGGCGGGGGAGGGGTGTGTGTGTGTGTGTGTGTGTGTGTGTGTGTGTGTGTGTGTGCTGCGTGTGAGTCACCCATCTGGTGTGACTGAGAGAAGGCAGGAGCCACCTAGGCCTGCCTCCAAGGGCCGGGGTGCCCATATCAGGGAGGCAGCAGGCCTGCTCTGCTCTGACCCCGTTGGAGTACAGGGTTCCCAGACGAGGGAAGGGCTGAAATCAAAGGAGAGGTGCTGAGGACCTGCAAACCATGGCTGAGGAGTGTATACGTGGGATGCTTTCATTTGCAAGTGTCTGCAACCCATATCAACCTACCAAGCTGAAAAGGGAACATACGTTACGTTCCCGGGGCTTACACCATGCTGTCGCTGGTCTACCTCCCTTAGTGTGCAGGCTGTTTCCACATGGCTGGGGGAGGTAGCCATCTGCACATCCAGGTTCATTTCCTCCCGGCCTCACCTCCCCTCGGAGTGAAGGAGAGGTCCCTCAGGGAGGGCGTGCTGGGCAGAATCAAGAAACACAGCGGCTAGCACAGCTCCGGGGCAGAATGGTCAGAGGTTAGGTCAAACTAGGGGAGACATGGAGAAATATCACCAGCTGCCTCCTGTGGCCCTAAGGGGGAGTTAGGACAAGTGGAGAGTAGCTCTAAGTAGATGGGTTTCTGTTTAGTAGAAGAAAGACTTTTCTCAAAGAGCCACCTCTGCTCACGGTGAACTCCCCACCTCGGTGCAGCTGGGGCTGGAGGAGCACTGGGTGGGAGGGCGGTGGGGTCAGGAGCAGCCTGAGGTTCTGTGGAGTGCTAGACTAAAGGGGTGGACACTGAGTCCAGCAGGGGCCCCTGAGTTTAGGGCCTCTGTGGACACAATTGAATGGGCCCGGGCATGGAGATCAGACAGGCACAGTCCCTACTGTCACCGGCTCCTTGGGAGAAGTCCCCCCTGGGTTTTTTAGGGAGAGGAAGGAGGTTGGCCTAGAGTCCCCCTCATCTCTGCCTTAAGGATCCAGAGCACATTACCCGCCCCCCCCCCCCCCCCGCCCCCGTCAGCGATGCTCAGCTTCCAGAATCAGGGGGTGGGAACGTGGAGTTTTTTCTTTCTGAAATGAGCATTCTTGCTACGGTGCCAAGCGATCCCACGAAGGTGCACTCCACGGTCTTAGAAGACACTTTGTTGAATGTTCTTTGGGGAAATGTTTACTTCGCTGGCGCTTTACCTGGCGGTGCCAGGGTGGAAAGGGCTTCCCATAGATTAGGCGTCCGTCTCTGCCTGGCAGTGTTTGGGCACCTGGTGTTCTTATCTCAATCTTCTGAGCCTCCTTGAGCAACGCCATAGGAGTTATTATCCCCACCTTGCCAACCAGGAACCCACATATCAGAGAAGAAACTTCTGCAGGCACACGGCTGGGATTCAAACCCACTGACTCACTGCACACCTGCCATCTTCCTTCCGAGTACCATGCACTTCACCTGCCCTAAAGGTGTATTCGCTGAATTGTACTTCTGGCATTGAAGTTCTGCCCTTCAAGACCCTACACCCTGGCTGGGTCTGCAGAGGGGCGTGGGGATTCCCTGTTGTCGACAGCTTGAGCTGTTTTTACGCAGCCATGAAGCACAGCCGGGGCGGGGGGCAGAGGGGAGGGTGTCTGCCAGCTGCTCAGCTGATGCCTTTGTAGGCAGAGTAGGTTGCAGTCAGCGCCGGAAAGGCGCTTGTCCCTGGTGAGGGGCATGTCACCAGTGGCTCCAGGTGCCTGGTGCCCAGGCCCTTCCTGACGGTGGAGCCTGTGATCAGGGCTCCCCTGTTCAGGTCTGTTCCCATCGTCAGCGTCCAGAGCACGGTGTGGCCTGGGACACCACCTGCTGCAGGACCCCTTGGGAGCTCGATAAATCATTGCAGGTCTGGGGTTCGGCTGAATTAGAATCTCTGGAGATGGTGCCCAGAATTCTGTCTTTTTAAAGAATCGAGCTTTGGGGCACTTCTTGTGCATATGAAGTCTGAGGTCTGCTGTTCTGGAGAAGAGATTATCTACTCTGGCCATGAACCAGAACAACCCGGAGAGCTCTTCCATTGAGCGTCACTGCTTGAGTCCCATCCCTTAGCAAACGGTGGCTCCTGAGCCACATGCAGCTCTTGAGTGTGGCTCTTCCACAAAATAACACGGCCTGGGCGAGTCTAATTTGAAAAAGTGGCATTAGAAGAAGTTTGAATTTAAAAATTTTGGCTCTCAAAAGAAATTTCAATCACTGTTCTGTTGATATTTGGCTCTGTTGACTAATGAGTTTGCCTACCACTGCAGCTGCTCTAAGGTATTGCTCTTTAAAACAAACAAAATCTCCCTCAGTGTTTCTAATGTGTAGCCACGGTTGAGGGGTATTGTTTCAAAGCACCGGCTCTGGAAGTGTGATGCCAGAGCGGTGGTATCAGCAATACCTGGGAATTGGCTGGAAATGCAAAATCCTGAGGCCCGAGGCCCACCCCAGACCAGCTCCAGCTTGGTGAGAGCCGCTGGGGGTGGGGCCCAGCAGATCTATGTACAGGGATGGGGAACATATGGAGAAAGATAGGCAGGTTCTAGCTTTTGTAACATGGAAGTTTACTCATGACTGTAAACTACTCTTGCCCACCCCTATATTCACACACACACACACACACACACACACACCCCGCGCCGGGTGATTTTGAAGCACTGGACTGTTTAAGAGCCAGTTTTTGGAGTCATTCCCAATCCTGGCTGCACATAGAATCCCCCAGGAGGGCTTTCGAGCATCCCAATGCCCGGGCCCCACCCCAAACCAGCTACAATGCGAGTCTTTTGGACTGAGACTCGGGCACCAGTACCCGTTCAAGTTCCTGAGTCATTCCAGTGCTCCAGCCAGGGCTGAGACACACTGTCTGAGCCGGTGAGGACAGTCCTCCCTCAGAGCGGCTGCCCGCATCGGGATGGCGGGCGAGACGTAGTGACTTCGATGCAGAGGCAGCACAGCGTGGAGGAGGGTCTGCGGGACTAACGTTGGCACCACTCTAGGTGACCCTCTGTGATGAGGGAGGATGGAGGAAAAAGCAAAGTTGCCTCTTGCCTTCTGTGGCAGAACCCCGGATCAGGTGGGCACTGAACTCGGCTCTCATGTGAAGGAGGTCCTTCAGGCAGAGCTCATCATCCCCAGTACTGTAGATGAGGGAACGGAACTCCAGGAAGGCCCGCCAGCCGGGAAGCCAGTCAGTCACTGGACCACACATAACACAGCCTCCTCCAGGGTCCCCTCACCCAGTCCCCCAAATTCTGGCTCCTTCAGGTGTTGTTTGATGTCTCACCTGTGATGTTTTGTTGTGTTTGCCTTTCTGTTTGGAACAGATAAAAAATAACGAACCTTTGATCAACGTGCTTTACAGAGTGCTGAAGAAGTCAGCACAGGGCTGGCGGCCCAGGAGACGCGTAAGATGATCTGACCCGTGTCTCCAGGCGGGGCCATTCCATGCTTCTGGCTCAGCGCCGATTCCGTCATCACGTGCTTAACCGGGGGCTCTCCTCACCACCCCAGGCTTCCTGCAAGTCATTTCCGTTTCTTTCCTTTCTGTCAAGCTCCTGCCAGCATTCCGGCTGGTACACCAGGCTGCGCCTCTCATCCATCCGTACTGTCCTGTGATTCCATCTTTTGTGCTGCCACAGGGGAGCGGGGGTGGGGGCCTGGGGCTCGCCAGCTTTGCTTCCAGCTTGTGTCATGTCCCATCCTCCCTCACCTGCCTCCACCTCCAGGCCTGGCCTAGACAGAGACCGGCATGGCCTGGGTAGTTGAGCATGAGCCTTGGGAGGGAGCGGTTGTTCGGGGCCATCTTGGAGGAGCTGGGTGGCCTCAGATTCCACCTCGGACCTGCATTGCGGTGGCCCTTCCTTGGGGCAGGGTGCTGATGTCTGGAGCTGGACTAGAACAAGATAGGGCCTCCCACCCCCCGCGTTGACTGACGCAGAAGTTGTGCCTGGAACACGGCCAGCTTTTGTCACTTTCAAGGGAGGAATCAGAGGCCACGCCTCAACATCCTAAGCCCTGAGAAGAGGTGTCCTGGGAGGTGGGGGAGGGAGTGGGGTGGTGGCTGGGTCCCCTGCAGAGCCTTTCAGAGGCAGGCACCATTTCAGCCCACGCTTGATGTCGGTGGATTGAAACATTGCTAACACAAAGCACAATTTTAAAAGAAAAAGTAGATGTCATACACTGCTTGTGGGGATTTCACAATAATCTCCGCGCTCCGGGACAGCGACATTCAGACGCTGAAAAAGCCTCCGAGCTGTGTGAACACCATCACAAAGCCCAGCTCCACAACCTGTGGCCTCGACTCAGGGCTTCTCGCCTTGTTTTGTTACAATCACAGACTCCCGAGGCAAACATTTCCCCGAATATCCCCAATGTGGTGGGCCCTGGCTGGGCTTTGAGGATGCAGAGAAAATGTGTCCCAGTCCTGATAGTCACCCCTAATTAGGTCAGTTCCTCCTAGTGAGGGGAGACAGAGCATTTCATCTGCTGTAGGAAGGCCCTTCGTGGTGGGAGACACGGTGTGGGAGCATCTCTCTGGAAGGGCCCCAAACCCAGCCGGAGGCAGGGAGATGGGAAAGACAGCAAGAATGTCACCTGCATTGAGTTTCTAATCCCGAGAGACTCGGTCTGAGTTCGAATTCCTATCTCACGGCACCCGAAGAGCAGCACATTGAAAAGGGACCAGGGAAGGTTCCTTCTTGGAAAAGAAGGAGTTGCTAATACCTCAAGAGAAAAAAGAAATGTTACATGTCCATCTAAAATGGACATGAAGTCACAGAAATTTGGGAGCACTTAATCAAGGGCCAGTAGCTTCTAAGAAATTCTATATTCCTGATTTTTTTTTTAATGATTGATTCGTCCCCCCATAAAAGGTTGACTATATATTCATCCTTCTGTGAAGGCAGTGAAGGACATACTTTTCGTAAGCTTTCCACCAAAAAAAAAAAAAATAAAAAAAAATTAAAAGGCTCGGCTTTCTCAAAATGCCCTTTTTTGTGTACAACCCCTCACTCAGTTCCTGGTGGTGCTGAATAAACGAGTCATTGCTCCATTAGATTCTCTGCCTCGCTATTTCAGTATCGAAAAGATGTCATCTGTAAAAAGCTTTCGTGATAAATGGGGAAGAGTTTTGCCGGGAGGAAACGTCCCCACAGCATATCTCACTCTGAACATGATTTCTTCCTGGGAAATGAGCCCAGTGTCAGCCCCGTGGAGGGTAGGCGCAGAGTGAAGGCTCTGCTGCTTCCCCTGCCGGGTTCCCCTGAGTTGAAAGGCCCAAGTCCTGCCCGGGAAGTCCAGCCATTTGTGGTTCACCAGGATCAACCCCACCGCCTCCCTCTCCCCTGCCACCTGTTTGTGGATTGTTGCTGGAGTCCGTGTGTCCCGTGACTGTGTGTATACCTGTATGTACGCATAACCTGTCAGTTTGAAGAGCAGAATTTGGCTGGAGATCCATTTTTCCCCCCAGGAACTCGACAGCACTGATGCACAAGTATTTCCCTTTGGCTTCCTTGCCATGCAAGGAGCCTTTGCCGAGTGCCTTTCTGAGCCAGGCCTTGTGTTCGGGGCTGACTTGACTGAGATAAATAAGTGGTCCCTGCCCCCTGCTTGTGACCAAAGGGAGTCTGGGGATTGGGGGGGGGGCAAGGGGGGGCGAGTCTGCAGCCAGACTCAGTCCTCAGACCAAGGCATGGATGGAGAAGGCATTCTCCTTTGACCTTGACCTGTGCTGATAATGGTTGTCAAGGAGAAAGGAGTATAGGACAGTTGGACCTCTGAGATGACAGAGGTGGGGGGTGGGAGGAGTGAGGAGTAGGGCTTGAGTTCTGAGGGAAATGCTTGCCAATATATTTCTGCTTCTGATTCACATTCACAAACTTACTGGAACCCCCGATGGAGTAGGCAGGAAGCGAAGGCCATGTCTCCAGCAGCTGTCTGTCCATCCACACTGGGACACACTACCACCTGTCTTGGCCATAGTTAGCCACCCCCTGTTGTTTCCCTGGTCAGATCTGCAAAATGGAGATCCCTACAGGGGCACATTCAACTTGACAGTTCCTACCCATAGCTTGGCCATGGGGGAGGGCATCTGTGTAAACCTCTCCCCCCCACACACACCCCACCCTGCCCACACACACAGCTTTTGGCAAGAAATGAAATTTAGGGAAAGGAAAACATAGGCTAAAGAGTTAGGTTTAGCTTCGTAGGGGTCAGGGAGGGATGGGAAATGTGAAATCCCACCTGCCCATAAGTTTGGTTGATTTTTGTTTATTGCTTTGTGGCTTCCTGTCTTGAGAGGACGGGATAATATTGCAAGCACGGCCCAACATCAGTTATTTCAGGATCCATTGGAAACCCCAACCAGGAATTATCCAGGTTCCTTCTTCCCTCGGCCAGGTCCTCTTCCCGATAGAGTGGGGAAGGCTGACCTTGCTCTTGGGGAGGTGGGCTACTCAGGCCCTTCCGGAAACTCAGGCTTCCCATTGTCCCAGGGATTTGCTCGTTCCTCCTGGTCCACTCACCCCACTGCCCTGGACCTCAGTCCCTTGTGTTTGACTCCAGACTCAGTAGGAACGCTCTCTTATCAGTGGCTAACCTTCCAAGACTCATACTGACTTTGAGCAAACAGAAACTGCTGTCGTTGATGATGCTATAATTTGTATATCTGCGTTCCCTTTAGTTTGAGGGATTTACAAGTGCTACTAGCACCTTGAAAAGGTTTCAGTTTCTTCCTAAAATGAGATGGGTGTGAAAATGAAGCAGATGCTGCCTCCGTTTTGCCCCTCCTGGGCTGTGACCCTCCCTGTCACTGCCAAGACCTCCACACCCATCCACCGTGGGGCTCACTTTCCTTCTGGAGTTTGGGTCCCAAACCCTGTGGTTAAATCTCCTTCCACTTGTTCACCTCGCAGATGACAGGCCGGGACCTTCTCAAGGATCGAAGCCTGAGACCCATGAAGATTGCCGAGAGTGACATTGACGTGAGTGAACGTAGTGGCAACTGACTGCTCGCTCCCCTGGCTGCCCACTGTCCCCAGCCCTGTGTGGGCAGTGTCAGGAGGGTTTGGAGGGTTCCTGTTAACACTCCGAGGCCCTGCCCTTTCCTCATCATCCCAGGCCCCCTCCAACCTGTTCTTGCTCACAGGTCAAGCTGAGCATCTTCTGTGAACAAGACAGGATCCTCCAGGACTTGGAAGACAAGATACGCGCCCTCAAGGAGAACAAGGTATGTATCGGTTCTGCATAACCTTAGGCTGAGTGGGGTAGGGGGTTTGTCTTTTCATAGTCATAGACTGGATGGTGTTGAACAACAGGTGTTCGTTTATCCAGAACAATGTCTTTGGGTTTAAAGGGTGTTTCTTGTTGGGGGAAGGGAAGGAGTTCTTTCTGAACCTGGAGGAAACCTTATAGGGAGACCTTAACCTAATACCACTAATACCACTGCCTTCCTCCTCCCACCCCCTTAATTCTGCTCTGGCCCACCTCTCCCTGGAGGCCTGGCGAGGTGAGCCTGGGAGAGGAGGGCCCCCTCGGATCTGGGCTATGGAGGAAGCAAGTCTGGATGGAAAGGCAGGAATGGGCCGGGCAGAGTTGGGGGGCACCAATGTTTGGTCTCTTAGACACTTGGTGTGAATGTAAATATCTGTGTTTTCCAATGGTCTTAGGCTCTACAGCAGTGGTTCTCAACCTGTCTCGACCCACAGGGTCGCCTAAGACCATCGGAAAACACAGATATTTACATTATGATTCATAACAGTAGCAAAAATTACAGTTATGAAGTAGCAACAAAAATAATTTTATGGTTGGGGGTCACCACAACATGAGAAATTGTGTTAAAGGGCCGCGGCATTAGAAAGGTTGAGAACCACTGCCCTAGAGTGATCTGTGTTCATTGGTTCTTGACCCATCTTGGCCCCTTTGTCCTAAGACCTTAAAGAGTTTTCCTCGACTCTGATTTACCCTCATCCTCGGTCCTTTGAGGGGTTGATAGCCTTGTGCCCGTTTCGTAGACAAGGGAACTGAGGCGCAGAGCTGTTAGGTGACTTGCCTCAGGCCACCAGGTGGGCAGAGTCAGAGCTGGATTCAGAGACCCTGACTCTCAGGCCCCCGCTGGACACTGGCCCTCAGTCAGCAGTTTGCTCTGTTTAGCTTCTGGTGTGTATGAGAGACCTCCAGGGACTGTCCTTATGACCTTGCTCTCCGATGCTTGCCGGTAGGACCAGCTGGAGTCCGTGCTGGAGGTGCTGCACAGACAGATGGAGCAGTACCGAGACCAGCCCCAGCACCTGGACAAGATCGCCTGCCAGCAGAGGTTGCTGCAGGAGGACCTGGTCCACATCCGGGCGGAGCTCTGCAGAGAGTCCACTGTGCGTAGAGCCGTGGAGGGCGGCGTACACTTCCCTCTGGCTGGGCTGGGCAGCGGGATCTCTCCTCTTCTCCTTGGCTGTAACTGAATTGGCGGCCAGGGGCAAGAGTCCTGGGGTAGCAGGCTGCCTCCTGGCAGGACCTTACCCTATCCAGGGGCGATGTGTCCAGAAGTACCTTACGGTCCTTTCTGTCAGCAACTCCTGCATGACTGCAGTGACACCCACCCAAGGGACCAGATCTCTCAGAGCAGCCTGCACGGCTTTTCCCTGGTCCACGTTAATTCTAAGATGTCAGAATTTCCACTTGATCTGTCCATCTGGTGTGCAGGCCCCTTTCTGCCAGGCCTGGAAACCGAAGTGTCCCCAAGGGTGCAGGAGGGGATGAGGCAGACGGCCAGGGTCAGAGCGTGGGTGAGGAGACAGCCCATGTCTCTCTCACCAGCACCCCCAGCCCCGCGGGGCTCTCCTCCTCTGCCCCTGGCGGGGCGGCTGTGGTCGGGAGCACCGGTGTGCATGGGACTTCCGGGGACGAGGACAGCTGAGAATCGGAGCGTTTCCCTGGCCCACAGGAGATGGAAAACGCCTGGAACGAATACCTGAAGCTGGAGAGCGACGTGGCGCAGCTGAAGCACACCCTGCAGGAGCAGCACCGACGGGCCTTCTTTTTCCAGGTGGCTCAGGGGCTCTCCTTCCGTCCTGGGCTATGATTCCTTGGGAGACCCCCAGCCAGGGCCTTCTCTCTTCTCCCGGGGGCTCAGCCTGCTCACCTCCCCGAGGTCTCCCTCTGGGATCCTTCCCCCGGGGCAAGGCTGTGATGCCCAGCCTCCCCACAGTTCCCACCACCTCTCTGCTGTTAGACAGATTCCGGGGTGTGTTTGTAAAGGTTTTACATTCAGTAAAGCAGCCCCAAGAGGAGGCAGATGCCAACCTTGAGACCCTCACTGAGACCCTAGAGCACATGTGTCAAACACAAGGCCCGCGGGCCAAATCCGTCCCGCCAGGCCTTGCAATGTGGCCTGCACCACGCTGTCATCACTGCACTCGGCTGCGCTTCCATCACAATGACAGTTTATGGCTGTTCAGTAAACCATTCGGCCCGCGATTTAGGCTGGATTTTAGATTTTGGCCCCTTCTCTGATTGAGTTCGACACCCCTACTAGAGGGATCTGTGTTTGCTGGTTGTTGGCCCGTCTCAGCTTCTCACTATTCACTGAGACAGCAGCTGGCAGCCCCGCCCCCTTCCTTCCGTCCTGATTCCTGAAGATAGATGCTATCGAGCCTTCCCCTGAGGAGGCACTGTGGATCCAGGAGGTGCCAGGCTAGGAGATACCCATCGCTGTGGCCCCTGCCCTCCTCAGGAAAGGCAGCCTTCGGGCCCAGCTTCCTCTGTCCTTAAAAACCAGGCCACCTGTTGACAACTGCCTCTGCCCCCCCCCCCCCCAAAAGGCGAGAGAAGGAAGGCCTGTGTGGTTTTCCTTCCTCCCTGTCCAGTCCTCGGAGGCCCAGCATTCGTTCCCTCACTGTGCTGCCCATCCAGGTTTCCATTTTAAAAATGGAAGGCAGCCTGCTCTTGAGCCCAGCTTCAGGGCTCTGTCTCCTCTTTCAGGCCCAGTGAGTTTGATTTTGAGTTCGGCGAGTATTCATTCAGCTAGGCCCGCTTGGCTTGCTCATGGACGGAGTAGTTCTAGCCAAGGCTTCTCGCTCAAGTGACTTAACATGTTGACTCTCCTGACATCAGCCTCACCCCAAAAAGAGATGGGAATTCCGTCTGGGAGGCTTTTCCCGAGTCCTGCAGTCCCCCCCACTCACCACTGGGCACTGGGTCTAGAGGGCCCCATCCAGGGCCATGTGGAGAACTGCCTGTGGAGACTCCGTGGGTTGAAAAGAGCGCACATCTCCGAGAGGCTGGGTGCTGCCGGATCGCTCTCTAAAAGGCTGTTCTCGTTTGCCCTCCCACCCACGTGAATGAAAGTCCGGAACCCGTCTGCCCACGTCCTTGCCAGCACTTGATGGTACCACTCTTTTTAGTTTTCGCCAGTCGACTTGCTGAAAAGGGACATCTTGTTTTAATTTGCGTTTACGTACTCACACAGTAGGTTAGACATCTCTTCGTGTGATCAGGGGCCATTTGTATTCCTACGGCAGCTTATTTCCTGGGGACTTACCAAAGAGGCCCCAGAAGCTTCTTCCCCCTCCACAGTACGGATGGGTCCAATGCACAGGTCTTGTCTCAGACTCCCTAGTACGTGGCGGAAACACAGGCCGGCTTGGAGCCTGGTCCCTGCCGCTTGATAGGCATCTCCGCGGCAGCCCCGCTCACCCTTTCCCCGATGCCTCAGTGACCGGAAGCTCACAAAGCCCTTCTTTGAGCAGACGCTGTGTTCACTTCGGTGTAATTCAAGGCCAGGCAGGCTGTTGAATAGAGGCCTGAATAAATCATTACACACTTTCTCAGCAGTGGGGCCTGGAAGCTCGCCGCCCTGCAGCCAGGTTTGGCTGCGAGAAAAGCTGTAGCCTTTTTTATGGAAGATGCGTGGCTTTGTGTATAAAGATTTTCATGGCCACCTGGGCGGGGAAGCCGAGGATCAAAGCACACCTGGGTAGCTATGTGAGGGCAGTGAGAGGCGAGGCTCCCTGTAGGTGTCCGATGAGTCGAGCCTATGCTGCGTGGCGTGCATGGCAGCCATCCTGCCCAGCCTGGCGTGAGGACGCAGAAGTGAAACCCTACAGCCTTGCTCCCCAAAAGCTTCCTTCGCCACGCCATTAAGTTCTGAAGTTCCATCGCCCTTGGAGAGAGAGGGAGGTTCTCTTGCCTGCTCTTTGCTTACGGGTGGGGGTGACGAGGGCAGAGTGGGGGCAGGGCTGTGAACTAACTGGCAGGAGAAGTGTGTGCCAGGGAGACTGCCAGGGACGGAGGGAGTGGATTCTAATCCCGTGCTCCCCCTTCACCTGCTGCCAGCACTCAGCCTGGGACCTCCGCTCCAGAGATAGCCCTGCTCACTTGTACCCACTCTGGGCTCACAGACACGTCTGTCTGCTTTAGGACACTTGTGCTTCGGTGAGGAGCCGAGCCTCAGGTTCATTATCGGCTTGTCCGCCCTGAGGATGTGTGGTGGTGCGTTAGGGGCGGGGAGAGCGTGAGAGGCTGAGCTGCTGGGAGGGAGGCCTCAGACCTCTGTCGTCATGGCTGTTGGACGGTGTTTGACCAGGGGCTTTTATGTGATTGGTCCCTTATCACTGAACAGACATGTACTAAGAATCTGCTGAGAACTTGCCTCTGGGGGAGGGATCGGGGAACACACAGTCTAGTTGTAGAATCAGACGCGGCCCTGAGCCTGGCGCATGTGAGAACTCTCCTGGCTGAGTGTGGCCGGGGAGGTGAAACCTTCTGTCCTCCTTCGTGGTCATTTAAAAGCTGGAAGAATATTCTATGTGATGCTTAAACTGCTCTCCTAAAAGGTGCCCGCCATCCCTGAACCACTGCAGACCCCGCTCACGTCTTTCCAGGGCCTCTTCCCAGCCGGTTTTGGTTGTGACTTCCCAAGTGTGCCTGTGGCCTGGCTCTTTCCCCATTACTTTAAAACAAGAGCAGCTTTGCCATAGCGGTTTGGCTCAGTGGATGGAGTGTTGGCCCTTGGACTGAAGGGTTCTGTGTTTGATTCCGGCCAAGGGCATGTGCCTCAGTTACAGGCTCAATCCCTGGTCCATCGAGGCTCATGTCGGAGGCAGCCAATCGATGTTTCTTTCTCTCCCTCTCTCTTTTCCTCTCTCTCTCCCTTCCACTTTCTAAAAAGCAATGGAAAAAGTATCCTTGGGTGAGGATAAATAAAATAAAATAACAGGTTTATTATATAATTCTCTTTAAAGTATACAATTTACTGGTTTTTAGAATATTCAGAGTTGCGTAACCATTCCCTCAATATTATGACAACCTCCTTGTCCCCCAAAAGGAACCCTGTACCCATTCCCAGCCTCAATCCCCACTCCTGCTCTAACCAAGCACTAATCTACGTTCTTTCTTCCTGAATTTACCTGTTCTGGACATTTATATAAATGAAATCATACAATCCTTGGCCTTCTGCGTCTGGCTTCTTTCATGCACCATCATATGTTCAAGGTTCGTCCCCGTAGCATGTGTCCGTACTCCGTTCCCTTTTATTGGCAAAAATGTCTGCAGTCCATTGTGTTCTCAACTAAACTTCACCTCCCAGGACTAACTGTCTTTTAAACGATGCTCTTTATAGTCTAGGGAAGGTGTAACCTTTAGTCCTTGTCTTCTCTTCCCTTATGCCAAGGTTGCCTGAGATGGCCTGTTTTAAAAAATCACCATTTTTTTAAATGTACATAGTGTGAAATTGACACCTTCCCGTGTTCCGGTGTACAAGTTGGCAGGGTTAAGGGTATTCGCATTGTTGTGCATCCATCTGCACAGCTCTTTGCCTTGCAGACCTGGAATTCTGTATCCAGGAAATAACAGTCCCATCCCTCCCCCTTCCCCCAGCTCCTGCACCCACCCTCTGCTTTCTCTGAATCTGACACGTAAGCGGAGTCCCACAGTGTCTAAGGCAGCCCGATTCTAAATGAGGTGGAACTAGGCCAGGTGGACTTTCGAGGGCGCCCCTGACGTTTCCGTTTCTCTCCTGGGCCTTGAGCATCCTTCATGTCTGTGCTTCCCCGTGAGCCATGGAGCGGAGGGGGGGGCGGGGTAGTTCCCAAGGAAACGCTGCCCGCCCAGGGTGAGGGGCCCTGTCTGAAATGACAGCACAAGTCCCGTGGAAAAGCGTCTGGTGAGGAGCTGAGGAGGAAGTGAACCGCCGCTCGTGTTCCGTAGGAGAAATCGCAGATACAGAAGGATCTCTGGAGGATTGAAGATGTCACCGCAGGCCTGAGTGCGAACAAAGAGAACTTCAGAATCCTGGTGGAATCGGTCAAAAATCCCGGTGAGTGAGCTGTCTCCTGGGGGCCAGAGCCCAGGCAGGAGGGGTGGCCCTCGGGGGTTGGGAGGGGGGCAGGTCCTCCTGTGTGTCCCTCTGGGAAGTAGGTCTTGGTTCCATCCTCTCCTTTGCTTCCCTCTATGCATGCCCCTTAGAGAGAAAAACAGTGCCTTTGTTTCCTCACCCGCCTGTGCCTTCACTCTCGACGTCGGAGAGCAAGCCACCCCCGCAGCCCAGCCCTCCCACCAGCCCAGTGCGGACCCCGCTGGAGGTTCGGCTCTTCCCTCAGCTGCAAACCTACCTGCCCTACCGGCCTCACCCGCCCCAGCTGAGGAAGGTGACGTCTCCTCTCCAGTCACCGACCAAGACGAAGCCCAAAGTTGTAAGTACGAGGACCAGGAGCCGAGCGCCACCTTTTCCTCTCAGGCCAGCTTCTCTCGGGAGAGGAGTTTGTAGGGAAACACGGGGAGATAGAACCAGCCTAAGTCCTGAGCCATGAGAGGGTAAGAAGCGGAAGGGCCCTGCCATTGGACCTCAGACTCCCAGACTTAGTAGGTTCCCTTGGATAGAAGCTAGCCCAGCCCTCCCATTTTGCAGCTGGGCAAACAGAGGCCCAGCAAGAGGAAGTGACTGTGAGGAGGAGGCAGGATTTGTGATCTGCACCGTGCATGTAGGTGTGTGGCTGCTCCTTGTGAATCTACAGCCACACACGTTTGTGGGCAATGAGCTCATCTCAGCAGAAGAGTCTCCCAGATCTTCACCTGCAGTTGAGCAGGTGCTGCTGAGTAGTAGGCACATTTGAGCCTCAAGATAACCTCATAGAGTGCAGAGAGGGAGGTCAGTATCCCCATGCCACAGATGAGAGAATTGAGACCCAAAGGTGTTCAATTTGCTTACAGTCTCATTATTGGTTAGTGGAGTCAATCCACATCTCCTGATCATTCCCCGTGCCATCTGCCATCTTATCAGACATCCGCCCCAGGTCCTCAGGTCAGATTTATGGCCCTGTGACTGCCTAGGCCAGTGGTCGGCAAACTGTGGCTCATGAGCCACATGAAGCTTGTGAGCCGCTGTTTGCTGCTCTGTTGACTAATGAGTTTGCCGACCATTTGCCTAGGCCATTGCCTTGGCTTGCCTGGCGTAGAGAGAGCCCAAGCCCTTGGCAGAGTCTGGGACGAGAGGAGACTTGAAGGAAACAGAAGATGTGGTCAGGTACCAGGATAGCTCAAGTCTCCAAGGCCAGACCAGCTCTGGCTGGAGAGCCCAAGGGGTTGTCCAAGTGACCAGAGAGCCTTACCAGAGGGGGCCTGGGGAGGGGGCCTCCGGGATTTTGCTTGGAGGAGCTTTGCCGGGGCACCACGTGTGCCTGGTACCTCTGAGGACTGCACAGCAGTGGCTTACACACACAAGCTCCCATCCCCGTCCTCTCCATCCACCTGGGCCTAGAGCTGGGAGACAGGTGCCAGGACCCAGAGTCATTGTGAATTTCTTTATCTTAAGATCTCTCTCCTCATCCCAGATCTAAGGGGCCCAGAGCACCAGCCACAAGCCAGGAGGTAGAAATAGCAACTTAAACAGGAATGGCTGGCGAGGGTGGTTGCTGACATGAGGCAGGTACCTGCCCGCCAGGACCCGCAGCAGAGGGAGAGGGTGCTGCCTGGGAGCCGAACCAGCTGGATTCCAGCCCTTGTTCTCTCTGGGTCCTCCCTGATCTTCCTCAGTTTCTCCTGAGGCACATCAGCCAGCTCTGACTGGGCACTCACAGAGGCCCATCTACCCAGCTGGGTCCTCTGTGGCTCGGGGGCGGGGCTTTTCCACTTGGGTCAGCATCACAGCCAATGGGGGTCTCCTGTCCCCTACTCTAGGACTGCATGTGTGTTCACTGTTTCACCATATTTTTTATTATTGTTTGCTCTTTTTATATTTATTTGTGAAATACTGACAACATGAACATATTGATGTAAAACATGAACACATCATTTAACATATTAATAAAGAGACCACCTATGTTATACGAACACCCAGACTAAGAAATAGAGCTTCGCAGCAGCCGGAGCCCTCAGGCCTGTGGGTTCCTTCCCAGTGCAAGGCCCCTTCTGCCAGAGGGAGCCACGAGCTTGGCATTTGGGATCATTTCCCTACCTTTTTTGTTGTTGTTGTTGTTGTTTTTGTTTTGCTATCTACGTTTGCATTTCTACATATCTTAATTTTGCCTGTATTTATTCTTTGGTATCTCGCATCTTTTCTTCAACATTATGCTGTGTGATTCATCCCCATTATGGCATGTAGCTATCGTTCTTTTATTTTTATTTGGCTTCGTTTCTTGAATTTAATGTCACTTACCTCTTTATTAGATAATCCTCTTGAAGGGTACAAAAATCAAAAGATATGAAACAATATATAATAAAGGGCCTCCCTCTACCTTCTGCCTCCAGACATTGGATTGCCTTCTATCAAGGGCAATCAATGGTTTGTGTCTATCGCTCTAGGGAGCTTTTTAGAAATTGGTGATTCTGAGACCTTTGTCAGGGCTGGAAACCGGGAGACTCAGAGCCTGTGGGGAGAACACACACACACAGCGATGAAATGGGTTGCATGCGAAGAATTCTGCTAAGCCTTTGCAAGGCAAGCGTGCAGCGCCCTTTCCCGAACTCTGCAAAATTCTAGAAAACAAAGCAAAAGTAGACTCAGGAAGGAGGAGTTTGGGAGGAAGGAGTCTCAGTGGTCATGTGTTCCAGGAGTAGGTGTCCCTGGCAGTTGGGAGTCAGCTGTTGCTCCATTGAGAAGCCACAGCCCTCAGAGAGGGTCCTGGGCCAGATGGGGTGCAGGGGTTACGGTGTCAGGGGAAATAGTGGCATTCGGCATCCTCAGGGAGTGAGTGGGCTGCGGGGCAGGCAGCGAGTCACCCATTCTGACCCCCTGTCCTGCCCCCACGTCGGGAAGGAGGAAATGTTTTGTGACCATTCACATTTCTGATAGAGAGGGCAAGAGGAGGTAGACGAGTGATCGGCAAACTGCGGCCCCTTTGGCCCCTTGAGCGTGGCTCTTCCACAAAATACCACGCCCAGGCACGCATATGCAGTGCGATTGAAACTTTGTGGCCCATGGGCAGAAGTCGGCTTTCGGCTCTCAAAAGAAATGTCAATCATTGTACTGTTGATAGTTGGCTCTGTTGACTCATGAGTTTGCCGACCACTGAGGTAGACTGTCCTTGCTCAGTGCTCCCCACCTGCTGAGGGGTCCTGAGACCAGGCAGGAACCGTGCACTCAACCTAAGCACCTTAGAGGGGGCTGACGTAGGATGGGGAACGGGAATGGTGGTGGTGGGGCTGTCATAGACTTACCAGTAAGTGCAGGGTTGCCAGCCTGCTCCCCCTATGGTGCCTTCCAGGCAAGTAGAGGCCTGGGTTCCGTATTTGGGGACACAGTTTAGGCCACACTTGGGGAAATGGAAGATGGGACTCCAAGGGAAGAAAGGATGTGAAGCCAGGATGTCACCTTCTCCATGGCTCTGCCAGGGGCCTGGTGGCACCTCTGGGCTGATGTGGCTGTGCTTTTCAGGTCTGGGGGTGGGGGGCGCTGTTCCAGCCATTTGGGCCCCCCCCCCCCCCGGGGTGGGGCCGCCGGGCCTCCTCCCTCCCGCTCCCTCTCACCGGGCGCTCTCCCTGAGCAGGAAGACGAGGCGCCGCCCAGGCCCCCGCTCCCTGAGCTCTACAGCCCGGAGGACCAGCCTCCCGCCGTGCCGCCTCTGCCCCGGGAGGCCACCGTCATCCGGCACACCTCCGTGCGCGGCCTCAAGCGGCAGTCGGACGAGAGGAAGCGAGACCGGGAGCAGGGGCAGTGCGTGAACGGGGACTCGAGGGTGAGCCGAGGACCCCGGGGCTGCCCGGAGGGCGGGGAGGGGGAAGGAGGTGTAATGCTGGGCGGATGTGACCCCTCGGACTCTGCTTGCAGGGGGAGCTCCGGTCCTACGTGAGTGAGCCCGAGCTGACCACGTTCGGCGGGGACGTGGCTCAGCCTCCCCTGGGGGCCGTGGGCTCTGAGAGCAGGTACCAGACGCTGCCCAGCAGAGGTAAGTCGGGCCTCCCCACGGAGGCTTCTGGGAATCCCAGCTCTGCCCGTCATCACTGCTCCCCAACCCTCACCCGGCACCTCGCACCCCTCTGCCTGCAGCTTTGGGCCTTGGGCCCCAGCTGCCGCGGGTTCTGGGCTTCGGGGAGGGCCTGTCCTTCCTTTCTGGGGCCCACGTGCTGGCTCCCTTTCCGTTATGACATCTGTTCCTGGGCATAATGCCGATAGCAATTGCTGTAACTCTCTGCACTGCGTTGTGTTAAGCACTTTGTAATCACTTAGTTACTATCATAATCTATGAGGGAAGTACTATTATCTCCATTGCAGAGATAAGAAAACTAGAGCTCCGAGACATGAACTTGCTAATTGGCTAGGGCAAAGGATGGAGCCAGATTCCAGCCCAGTGTTCTGGCTGGGAGAGTGGTAACCAAGGGCCTTAGAGGGCGATGTCCTCTTCCGTGTCACTCTGGGGCTCAGTGAATCCTTTCTTTTTTTATTATTATTATTTTTTTTTAATATATTTTATTGTTTTGGGTTTTTTTTTACAGAGAGGAAGAGAGAGGGATAGAGAGTTATGGATGAGAGAGAAACATTGGTCAGCTGCCTCCTGCACACCCCCTACTGGGGATGTGCCCACAACCCAGGTACATGCCCTTGACCAGAATCGAACCCGGGACCCTTCAGTCCACAGGCCGATGCTCTATCCACTGAGCCAAACCGGTTTTGGCTGTGAATCCTTTCTTTAAACAGACACACTGTTCTCTTCCATTGGGTCTTCTTCTCGCTGTCCTTCCCTATCCCTTCAAGATGGGGATGGGAACAGACGTAGGCCCCGTAGGCTCCCTAGTAGCTCATCTTTCCCAAGGCCGGACCCTCTTCCTCAGAATCCTCCGCTCAGGGAGGCCTCCGGGAACGCCTGCGCCGGCAGCCCGTGCTCCCGCCTCTGTTCCCCCCCCCCCCCCCCCCCCCCCCCCCGTCTGCTTCCGGAGGCGGGAGGGCGGGTGCTTTCCCCCTTTGGCCAGGTGGACGGAAAACACCGCCGGGCTCCGGCCCGGGTCGGGTGATGTGACTCCCACCTCACCACGCTGTCTAGGCTTGCTGTGGCCTGGGATTGCGGTGGCCTGGGATTGCGGTGGCCTGGGCGGGTCCCTGCTGAGTTGGGGCCATGGCCGCCCTTGGTGCTGTGCCCCGAGGCCTTGCAGCCTTCATTCATTATGGCCTAGAGGTGTTTATCCGTGGCTGCATCGGTGACATTGTGGGACAGGACAGTTCTTTGTTGCTTGGGAGTCTCTGGACGTTGTAGGACGTTCATCCCTCTCTTTCCCACGTGCTATGTGCTGGAGGTGTCCTCCGTTGGGGTGTCGAGGACCACCCCTGGTGAGAATCATGGCTCATGGAGAGAGCACAGGCGTGGCAGGAGCTGGCCAGGGGGAGATGACTCCCCAGAGCCATAGGACCCCGACACAGGGCAGTGAGGCCCCTGCCGTGTACCTCGGACAAGTCTCTGAACCTCTGTGAGCCTTAGATCGGCAGCTCTGCCGTGGCCAAGTAACGCCTACTTTGAGCAGAGGGACCATCTGCAGAGCAGTGCCTGACAGAGCAAGTGCTCAGTGAACGCTTCTTCTGTCCCTTTCATGCATTTGCTCATTCAGTCAGCCAACCAGGCGTTGTTGAATCTGCAATCTAGTTAGGCAGGCAGGTGGACACTGCCTGTGGTCAGTAACCAGTGAATATACCGAGGGGTATTGGGAATAGTTGGTCCTGCCTCAGCATTGCAGGGGCCTATACCCAGGAGGCTTTCTGAACTGGGTCATGCAGAATGCTGCGAGTACAGCAGCAGAAAGGGGTGAAGGAAGACCGACCCCTACATCCTTTCCACCTTCAGCGTGTGAGGGAAGACTAGGGTCGTCCACAGATCTCTAGGGGCACTGTCCCCCATTGGGGACAGAAAGCGCCCCTGGCCTGGCCCCCTCCTCTTCTACCTGGGGCCTTGCTCTCCCAGGTCCTGGGGAGGAAGAAGAGCGGGTTGTTGGCTGAGCCCCATGGTCCCTTCACGGCGGTGGGAGGTGATTGGGGAGGGGCTGGCGGCCTGGCCACCCCACCACCAACACCCCTGCCTCTCTCTTTCCCCATGAAGGGCTCTCGGGGTCCACATCGAGGCTCCAGCAGTCGTCCACCATTGCGCCCTACGTCACCCTCCGGAGGGGCCTGAATGCCGAAGGCAGCAAGCTGAGCTTCCCCGTGAGTGGCCCTGAGAAGCTTCCGCAGAGCTCGCTGCTCCCTCACGCACAGAGGGACGGGCCCCGCGGTGGACGGTGACGGCGATCCTGTGAGGTCGTCTCGGCTCCTCCCGAGCTCAGGGTCCCTGTCGCCACATGCTCAGAGATGTCTCCCCCACAGTCCACCAAGAGGGCATCCCCCTGCCCTTTCTGTTTCCTGAGGACACCCCCCCCCTTTCTCCCCAGCCTCTCGGGCTCCAAGGAGGGGCACCCAGGAAGTCTGCACCCTGAGTTCTGACCCCACCACCTGCATGCCTGACTGGACAGGCCTGGGCCTCAGTGTCTGCATCTGCAGAATGGGCTGCTGCCCAGGAAGCCCGAGGGGCCAGGGGCGTCGTGGCTATGAGTATGCTTATGGTTCTCCACGGCCAAGAGGAGCCCAACTAGATAAGAGTGTGTTTGTGTGTGAGAGAGAGACAGACAGACGGACGGATGGACACAGAACGGGAGCGAAGCCGCCGTGTGGCTGCCCCCCGTGTGTCCCCAGCCCAGCTGCCCTGTCTCTCACCTCTTCCTCCCTCCTCAGAGACCCAAGAGTGCCTTGGAGCGTCTGTACTCAGGGGACCACCAGCGGGGCAAGATGAGCGCGGAGGAGCAGCTGGAGCGCATGAAGCGGCACCAGAAGGCCCTGGTCCGGGAGCGCAAGAGGACGCTGAGCCAAGGGGAGAGGGCGAGCCTGCCCTCGTCTCGCTACCTCGGCCACCCGCTCCCCGGAGACCTTGGCTCAGTATGTTAGGAGGGTCCAGGCAGGAGGGGCCGGGACAGGGAGCAGAGCTTCCCCGAGTCCCCCACACACAGGCACGTCACAGCCCGGGGAGAGCCGGCCGGTGACCTAGAGGATCCCGAGGACACCCCTCGGGGGGCTGTGGTGCTCACACACGCTGGGACATGGGTGTGACCGGGCCAGAGGGTGATGGGGAAGCAGAGCTGGAGTGAGGAGGTCACGGCAGGCGGCAGGGAGCCGAGGAGAAATGTCCAGTCAGTTCTCTGAGTGGAGCTTGACAGAGAGAGGCCTTGGTGGGCATCGGGAGTCTCGTAATCAAGGACTTGGGAGTAGGTACTTGGTTTGAGGATTCAAGGAGTGGAAGAGGAAGATGGGGAGCTTTGATGAGGAGGAGCACAAGCCCACCAGCCCCCCAGACTCCCACGCGGTTGCCCTATGGGGCAGCTGAGCACGGGGTCACGCCCCCCCCAACCCAGGGCTGTGGTCTCCTGCTGCTTGTGGTGCTCACAGGCCCACGGTGCCCTGAGAACCGGGGAGTGTGTGCTGCCCCTGGTGGTGCTTCCCGGTACTGCGTCCCGCCCACAGCCGCCTTGGGTCCGTTTTTTTTTTTTTTTGGATACCTCCCATTTGACTTTTTTCCCTGTTTGAAATCAAATGTTTCCCTAGACCTCTAGCCTGACTGTCCTTTCCCTCATTCATTGCACAAGCTCTTTTGCTTTTAGCGTTACCGCTCGCTCATTGCCTCTCTAATCCTGCCTGATTGTGTTTACAGAAGCTTCTGATTTGCATTGACAACGGTCTCTTTAACGGGTCTGTGCTCTTTGTTACCAGGCTTGTCATAGCAGCTCTTATCTCCATCGCCTAGCGAGCACTCCCATGTGTGTGACTCAACCTTTCCGCTGCCCGCTTCGTGCAGGCCTACTGACTCACAATTAGTTCGCCCTTCGAGACTGAGCCACCCTGCCGCCCGAGGGCCGTGGTCACTGGCAGAGGTCTGGGCATTGTGAACTTAACCAAAGTCCGTGTCTCACATCCAGTCCATAGGCACGGACCTCAGAGATTGTACATTTGAATAAATCCTATCAAGTCTAAGTTGGTTTGCTTTTAATTCTTTCCGTCCCACAATTTCTAATGGAAAACTTTTTGTGTGTTTTTAGTACTTAATAACTAGAACAGGTAGCGAGCTCTAGTCTGTTCTGTGTTCAGAGGGTCCCTCTGCAGCAGTTAGCTCAGACACCAAAGGGGTAAGTCCCAGGACACTAATCTCCTGAAAAGCTGCAAAGCCAGTAACTTTTAAACTTTGTAAGCAAACGTCATCTGGGGGGAACACTGACCTTTTACAAACTAATGTCTCAACTGTAGGAAGGTTATCTAAAGATCGCAACTCGAACACCTTGTAACTTTTCTCTTAAAAAAAAAAGAAAAAAAGAAAGGACTTGTGTTAAGTCTCTGTATCGACGCCAATAAACGTGTTACTAACGATAATGGATTGGCGTGGTTCTTCCCCAGGACACACGGCAGAGCCTAGCGGCCTTTTCTCTGTTTGTGGAGACAATCAGGCCGGGTTTAAATGAGGACTTCTCTCTCCGTCCGGGGCACACGGGAGCCTGTAAAGAAATGTGCTTTTTATTTCGTCTGTGAATCATTAAATTCATTTTTATCATCCTTGGAATGTCAAACTGCCTAATCCTTTCATACTGTGATTGGAAACCTAAGAGCGATTCTATTGGCTTGGCATCCGTATGGAGAGCTTGTGCATGAATGGGTGAAATGTGCTGAGACTGGCTATGGGTTTTGGGACTTTGCAGGCCTACTGACTCACAATTAGTTCGCCCTGCACTTGAAGCATCCTCAAAGATGATCATGACCACTGGGGCCTCTGTGAGGCGGGTGATGTGGGAGAGAGGAGATGACCTGGGATGGAGAGGCATCTGTTTGGTTTCTTCCGAGAGAAGAGAGGCTTTGCGCCTGTTCCCTCCTCTCAAAACCTGCTCCGCGTCCAAGGCCTGTGAGGATGCGGGCCACTCAGGGCGGCCTCCAAGTCACACCGTTGTGCTTGGGTCTTTATTTTTTTTTATTTATTTTTTTTAAATATATTTTATTGATACTTTACAGAGAAGAGGAAGGGAGAGAGATAGAGAGCCAGAAATGTCAACGAGAGAGAAACATCGACCAGCTGCCTCCTGCACACCCCCTACTGGGGATGTGCCCGCAACCAATGTACACATGCCCCTGACCGGAATCGAACCTGGGACCTTTCAGTCCGCAGACCGACGCTCTACCGCTGAGCCAAACCGGTCTCGGCATGTGCTTGGGTCTTTAAATAGCCAGTTCAGTTTTCCCTCTATGAGGAGACATGGAACAGCCTGGAAAAGGTTGCATTTGATTTAGCATTTCAGTTTTACACGTTGTCGTTCCTTTTTAACTTAAAGGAAACTTTTGCCCCACGCAGATGCCTGATTCACAGCTGTGTATCTGCCTCCCTGGCCCCAAGCTGCTCCCGCTTGGACCTCCCCAGCCCATCTGTGGGTGCTGAAGGCCCAGCCCTAACGGCATCCTGTTAAGAATCTCCTTACAGAGGCTCATGGCTATTCCTCTTGCTCGCCAGGCCCTCAAAGGGCTGCTTGTTCCTTTATTGCTGAGCTGGGACATACGACTCCTGCACCCGAATGCTCCCCCAATGGTGGGGCAGCGGGGTGAGGCAAACCCCTTCTCCAGAATTCTCCCAGGTTGTATAGGTGTCACCCTCTTGGACCTACGAGTCTCCTGGGGACCATGTGAGTCTAAAGTCATGGGTCTTGGACCTATGCCCTGGGGATCATGTTTGCACCCTTGGGGGACCTAGAACAGAAAGAAATCAGTCTGGAGTCAGGCCATCTAAAAGGGCCAGAGGCCCCATTCTCCACTCCTCGGGGAGGTACAGCGTACAGCAGGGATGCCCGTGTCGTAAAACTGCTGCCTTCTTTAGAGATGAGGTTGAGGTCCAGGGTCACATAGCTCCACCTGATGGGATCATGGACGCATCTTCCCCAAGGACCCCAGGGCCTGCAAGATCGTTCAGGAGGGGACCGGCTGGCTCCTGCCCCCATCACGGAGCGACTACACTTAACCCTCTTGTTCTGTTGCCAGTGGAAGCGCGAGCAGGACTTTGACCTGCAGTTGCTGGACCGCGCCGTGCAAGGGGAGAGGAAGGACGAGGAGGAGAATGGCTGGTTGAAAGTGCAGGCCGTGCCTGTCACTGAGTTGGACCTGGAGCCGCAAGACTATGACTTGGACATCAGCAGAGAGGTGAGGGCAGGGGCTTCCTTCATGCTCCCCCAGGAGTCACGGCCCTCAAGCTCCCAGCCTGACCCACCCTCCCAGGGCAGTCGGGGGTGTTGTCCTCAAGTGGAGATAAGGCTCAACTTGTGTGTTGAGACAGGAGGGATAGCAGCTTGAGGCAATAAAAGGAGCCCAGTGTTTTGATGCAGGCTCAGATCTCTGTGTCTCTGTAGTTTGGGGCAAGTCATGGACCTTCTCTGCGCCCTGATATCCTCAGTGGTGACGTGGGTTGTGATGAGGATTAGCGGATTCCAGGTGCGGCCTGGAGGCTTAGCAGTGATCGGAAGGCCGTGAGCTCCAGGCCCGGCACAGCGCAGGCATGGAGTGAGGTCATTATTGTTAGGAGATGTTCCTTGCAAAACCCAGCATTGGCCTTGCCACTGGCCTCTCAGGCCGACTTGGGCAATCAGACCTGAGGAAGATGGGCGGGTTTGAAAAGTCCAGGTGGCATTTCCCTCCAAGGCAGAAGCTAGACCTGCATATAGTTCTGGTTTGAGTTCCTTTGGCGCCCTCTGGTGGCCTCAATGCATCAAGACCGCCAGGCCTGGGAAACCAAGTAACATCCCGGGTAGGGATGACATACAGATTTGGAATGTCTACCTAGAAGAGAAAGGGAATCAGGGTGAGAGATGCAGCCCTCAAGACATAGGGCGGTCCCCTGTGACCTCTCTTGTGTCATTGGTAAGCCCTGTAGGGCAGATGCTAATGGCTGTTGGGTTCACGTTTGCCCCCGCGGACAAGCGCATAATGGTGCTCTGTCACTGTTTGCTGAATGAGGGCTCTGTTGCATGAAACACAGGGGCCCACAGATACCCCAGAACATTTGTGTGAGGACTAGCCAGCCCTGATGCTGCCTGAGGAAATGCGCTCACCACAGAAGGGTAGGCTTAGCAGTGTGGGGGGCCCACGGACGCCCCGGAGGATGAGTTCTGGGGTCAGCCGGAGCGCCAGGGGTTAATGAGTCCCCCGCCCTCAGGCCCTTTGCCTCTGAAACAGCCGAAGGTCAGTGCTTTCTCAGGCTCACAAAAGAAGCTTCTGCACCAGGCCCGGCCAGTGAAAGTGTGTCCTGCGGTGTCCTCGTTGCCTGCCAGCCAGGGGAAACAGTCCTTCCTTATCGCTAACCCAAATCCCTCCGCTCAATGCAATCTACTTCCTTCCTCTGGATCTGCCCTCGTTGGAAGCCACAGAGAAGAGCTCATTTCTTGCCACCTTTCCCCTGTAGGAAAGGGCAGCCTGGGTTTAAATTCAAGTCCAGATTTGCCCTGGGATTGGATTTAGCTGTTTTTTTTTTTTTTAGAAGCTCCAGCCAACCCCACTTTTTTTTTTTTTTTTAAATCAAAGAAGACACACTTTTATTTATTGTTAACAATAGGTATTTTACAACAGGACACCGACACACAGACTAACACAGCCGGGCTCCCTCGGGCAGCCCGAACTCCGAGGAAGCCTCTCAGAGCCAGTCAGTGCTTTGCCAGCAGCTGTGCTGTCGCTCTCAGGGGCTGCTGTAGTTCAGGGAGGGAACATTCCGAGGGTGTGCACCGGCCTTGAGCGGTCTCTGCCCCACACTCCTGGGTTCGCGTGAAAGGCTGGTGGGCAGGGGTCAGGCCGTTTTCCTCCCGAGGGAAGCAGACGAGCATGGCTGCCTCCTGTCTAGCTCAGAGGAGCTTTCCTAGGGACGGAAGGCACTATCACCACCCAGCCATCCCTCCATCCGCACCCTTACTCACCCACCCATCTACCAGCCATCCCTCCATCCACACACCTACTCACCCTCCCATCCACCCACCCACCCTTCCACCAGCCATCTGAGGAGTATCTGCTGAGGACAGCAGGAGGTTGGAACGGGCAGGGTTGGAGGGCTTCTTGAGGTGTGGGTGGCATGAGGAGGCAGGGTCAGTGGAGCGAAGGAAGAGCATCCCAGGTGAGGATGGCCATTTCTGTCCTGAGAGCTCCTAGTCCAGTTGTTCTGCCTCCCCAGCCCCTCCTCCCATAGGAGGTTGTTTGGTGGAGTGGACAGAACATGGTTTCTGGAGTCAAACCCGCCCGGCTTCCGATCCTGACTCCACAGTAGGCTGCCATTGGGATCTTAGCAAGCCAACCCCTGTGGGCAATGCATGCTTCCTGTGGTGAGGGACAGGGTGTGGGAGTGGGTCCTGAACGCAAATATCTGAGCGCGCCCACCCCCTCCCGCCCCCCTTTTCCCCCACTCCATGGCCTCCTGGTCCTCTCCTCAGCTGTCCAAACCAGAGAAGGTCTCCATCCCAGAGCGCTACGTGGATCTGGATCCCGAGGAGCCGCCCAGCCTGGAGGAGCTGCAGGCCCGGTACCGGAAAGCCGAGAAGATCCGCAGCATCCTCACCCGGTCCAGGTCAGCCCTCCCGCCACCTGCCCGCGTCCTGACGGCCCGCCAGCCCTGTCCCATGGTGTCTCAGTGGACTGGGTCTGGGCCAGGCCGGCGAGGGTGCATTTTTCACCAGCTTCCTCCCCGTTGGCGAGGGCTGGCTGGCGCTCAGTGCGTCCCCAGCACCTCATCGGGGAGCTGGGCCTGGGCCACCGCTGTGTCCTGTGACCCTGGCTCATGTGGGGGGCGGAGCCACGCATGGCAGGGACGTGGACACAACTGGAGCTCCAGCACTGGGGCCCGTGTACCCTCCCGCAGACCCATAGCCAGAGCCAGGAACGCTGTTCCCTCAGCCTCCATAAACCCCGCGTTTGCGGGCCTCCCTGTCAGAGCTAAGGTAGCCTTCGCACATCTGGATTTAGCAGGAGCCTGCATCTGGAGCTCCGATCTTGAGTCCAGTGACCCCCCCCCCCCTTCAAAGGAAGAGCAAAGCTGTGATTTGAGGGTATTTGCGGAGAAGCACCAGTGGTTTTCAACCTTATAATGCCGCGACCCTTTAATTGATAAAAAAACAAAAAAACAAAAAAACAACAACAACAAAACAGTGCACTTCTGCCCAGCCAGCGTGCCTCAGTGGTTGAGCTTCAATCAGGAGGTCTTGGTTTGATTCCTGGTCAGGGGACATGGCCAGGTTGTGGGCTCTATCCCTAGTGGGGGACATGCAGGAGGCAGCCAATCTATTTTCTCTCTCATCATTGATGTTTCTCTCTCTCTCTCTCTCTCTTTCTCTCCCTTTCTATCTGAACTCAATAAAAACATATTTAAGAACAAACAAACAAAAAACAATGCACTTTCTCTCTAGACCAATGGTTCTCAACCTTCCTAATGCAGATCCTCATGTTGTGATGACCCCCAACCATAAAATTATTTTCGTTGCTACTTCATAACTGCAATTTTGCTACTGTTATGAATTGCAATGTAAATATGATGTTTTCTGATGGTCTTAGGCTCTATAGCAGTGACCCACAGGGTGAGAACCGCTAGCAGGGTCGCCTAAGACCATTGGAAAACAGACATTTGCATTACGAAGTGCCCTGCTTTTATCAATGCCCCCTAGGAGGATAGGAGCCCCAGGCTGGGAGACCCCCTCCCCGGAGGCCGGTGGCTGGGGTGGCGAGGGCCCAGCACCTGCTCTCTGGCCCTCCCGCAGCATGTGCAACCTGCAGCCGGCCGCGGGCCAGGACCGGAGGAACAGCGTGGCCGACCTGGACTCGCAGATGCAGGAGCAGGAGCGCATCATCAACATCTCCTACGCCCTGGCCTCCGAGGCCTCCCAGCGCAGCAAGCAGGTGGCAGGTGAGGCCACGGGGGCCGGGTCCCGCTCGCTGCCCCCTGGAACCCCGGGGCCAGTCGGGGAGTCTCCGTGGAAAACAGGCGTCAGGCCTGCTGGTTGGGGGCAGGGGTGTGTTCTGTCCCATAAGCACTCGGGGCTGGGAAGATGGCGTGGGGCAGGCTGAGCACTGGGGGGGCTGGAGCTCAGGAGTGTCAGGGAGGAGGCCCCAGAGAGAGGGCCATCGCTCACTCTTAGACGTGAGGCTGGTGCTCTGTTTAGCTTTCCCAGAGACTGTGGGTTAAGAGCAGGCGTTTCGGGGCCCTGAGCACAGGGACCGAGGCTAAGGTTTCTGCCTCGGGAAGAAGGGGACAGGACGGCGGTGGGTGCATGGACGTCTTGCTGGGGCAAGGCACCGTGGGGCCTTCTGGCCGTCCCTGGGGCCCCTGCTTTGGTCCCCAAGTCAAAGCCACCATTCACCTTACAGCGGCCTGACCCAGAAAGCAGGACTTGGGAAGTGGGACTTTGGGGGCCAATGGGGAGTCGGGGGGCGGGGGGGAGGGCACCATGAACAGAAGAGTGGGTGCACACCGGTGCCTGCCAATGTGTGTGGTGTGTAAAGGCTCCCTCAGCCGGAGAGGGGCTCCTGGCTCCTGGCTCCTGGCTCCGGGCCCAGCCGCCTCCCCCTCCCTGTGCCCTCCCAGTTCACCCAGCACTTTCTCCCACATGTGGTGGGCAGTGCCCTGGGCAGCTGTGCTCTAGGCCTGCCTTCTGGGGAGAGGGCAGTCCCAGCTGATGTGCCAGGTCCCCACCAGGCCTCCCGCCCTGGCCAATGGGTCTGGAAGTGACCTGGGATGGTGGGGGGGGGGGCGCTGCAGGGCCCTGAGCTGACTGGCCCTGGGGGGTCTGGTCTGGGCAGCAGAGCCCTCCTGGTGCCTGGAGAAGCCATGGGAATGACCGGGGGCAAGCAGAGGGCCAGGATCTCATGGAAGCTGTTCTCAGTCCCCCGAATCCCTGCTGCCCTGACTCCATCCGGGGACATGCCGGGTGGCTGGGAGGTGGTCGGTGTGGCTTTCCGGGAGGAGGGACGGTCGGTGGCTCACAGAGCCTCCCCCTCGTGATCCTGGGGGCTCCCTGGGGCCCACCTCAGCCCTTTTGAGCTCCTCCCGTGTTGAGGGTCCCAGCCGGGATACTCTCCTCCAGCCTGTGCTTGCTCTGTGGATCAACCCCTCTCCCCCAGTCCTCCCCTTTCCCCCAACCCCCCATCCCCGCTTCCTTACCACCCGAGGCCCCAGAGCTAACACCTCACTCAGGCCCCCTCCTCTCCCCGCTGAGTGGCCGCCTTTGCTGCAGCCTTTCCTCCCTCTAGTTGCCTCTCCTTATCCCAGAGATATATCCGGATCCACAGGTCAATCCCAGCCAGGCCCCGTGGATGTGGCCCCCTGAGCCCAGGCCGTTAACGGTGGGCCGTGAGGCCTACGCACCCCACCCCCCACCCCCCACCCCTGCCGAGTGGGGCGTCTGCGCTGCGGGAGCCGACGAGGAGCCTAACGCGCCGCTTAATTCCTGTGCCCGTCTAGCGCAGCAGCTGGCCCTCCTCCCGCCTAAAGGCCCCCTGTCCTCCAGGACGGTGCCACCCTACCCCCCCCCTAAGCAGCGGACTCCACTACACCTTTGTCTAACACCGTCCAAGTAAGAGCCTCGCCCGCCCGGCGTGCCCCTCGCCTAGTGCTGAGCATGCCCGCCCTCACCCCTGCTGCCGAGATGATTGCTGTGCGCCTGCCGCTTCCTTCCTTCCTCTGGCAAAGCGGCCGCTGGGGAGGCCGCCCTGGACCTGTAGGGGTGGGGAGAGATGATGGTTTTGGCAAACTCCATCCTCAGTGGCTCCAATACAACAGAGACTGTAAGATCCAAGGCCCTGACGCTTAGAAATCTCAAGAGCTAACCGCAGGCCAGAGAACGCCCCATGGGACCAGTGCGGGCCGCTGGGCTGGCCGGAGGAGGGGGAGGCTGGAAAGGAAGTTGGATCTGGCTGCACTGGGCTTTGGCCAAAGAGGTCGAAGAACTGGAGGATGGGGAGGTCCAGTTAACAGATGAGGAAACTGAGGCCCAGGGAACGGATGAGGGCTCCCTCCGTGCCACACAGAATTGGCGTCTGAGCCAAGCCTCGCACTGCCCCTTCGGTCACTTGAGCACTTTGGGGTGGAGAGAAGGCAGCTCCAGGGAGGCTGCCCAGGGCCGTGGTGAGTGGGCCGCGGCCACTCAGAAGGCTCCGGGACAGTGCTTGGAGTCCTCCCTGTGCGAGCACTTTGTGATGAGCTGGGGGGGGGGGGTGGCTAGGGAAGGAGCCCGGGACCCTGGGCAGAAGGCCCGCGTCTGGTCCGATCTTGTGAGTCGCCTCCCAGCCCAGTAGCCTGGTCACCGAGGAGTCAGAGCAAACGTCTCAGTAGTCCTTTCCCTGCCACTGACTTGTAGGGTTTCCCCCCCTCTTTCCTTTATATGTCCTTATGGTTAACACTGTTGAGAACCTACTATGCTCCAGGCATTGTAAGCATTCTCTTTGATCCACACAACAACCCTATGAGGGTATCCGCCCCATTTTTGGAATCGAAGCTCAGGGACCTGAGGGACTTGCCTAGGGAGTTGCAGCTGTGAGTGTCAGAGCCTGAACCCCTCAGGGTGGTTTCGGAGCCTTTGCTCTCCCTTAGCTCCCGTGGGCTTCCCTGCCCCCCACCCCCCCTTCCCGGAGCTCCAGCTGTTTGGAGAAGCAGTGTCTTGGGGGACAGAGAGCGTGTGCATAGGGGTGGGGCATAGAGCCCACCGGCTTCCCCTCCCCCTCGTCTGAGGGTAGAAGGAAGAGGCAGGCAGGCCCTCAGGGAAGAATGAAGAGCACACAGGGGGTGCTCAATCCTGTGTAAAGGCCGCAGGGCCTGCGGGGCCAGGCAGGGCGGGTGGCTTTCCTGGAGCACCTACACCTCCCAGGCCACAGCAGAGGCGGAGACCCACTCCCCTCGCAGCTTCTGGTGCCCTTGGCCGTGAATAGGCCTTCGCGCACCTGTCTGAGCACACCCGCGTTCCCTGTCACCCTCGCCGACGCCCTGGGAGGGGGGCCTCTGGTCACCCCGGGTTTAGGTGAATATTAAGGCTCAGGGAGGCTGAGAGCGCTACCAAGTCGCTCAGGGAAGCCAGGGCAGGGCCAGAACTGGACCCCGGGGTGGTCTGCTCTTGCTCTCGGAGCAGGGACCCAGTTTAGGGACCAAGATGTGTCTGGCGAACTTCCTAGAAGGGGTAGCGTGTGGGGGAGGGTGGGGCCAAGCACCCCGGAGTCCTGGAAGCCGAGGGTCCTGCCCGCCGCAGCCGCCGCATTGCCTCCGCCTTCTGCTCTGCCGCTCTGTCTGCCTGTCTGTCTGTCTGTCATCCCGTGTCACGTGTGTGCGCAGACATGCCTGCTCCCCTGACGTGGGCCGGGGCCTGCCCGGTTCTCACGGTCTCCTGTGCTGTTTGCAGCCCAGGCGGTGACTGACCCGTGACCGGCGCACGGAGGAGAAGCCGGCAGCCGGGGTCCCGTGGAACCAGCCTGCGCTGAGAGAAGATGGACTTCTCTTCCCCCAAGAGAACCCCTCCCAGCTGAGCAGGGGTTCTGGCTGGAGGAGGGGGCAGCCCACCAGCTGGGGGTGTGTCCCCCACAGGGCTGGGTCCCCCTTCCCTCGCCTTGCGTTCATTGACTCCTCTGGACATGAATGACGCACCTTTGATACACACTGTAAAATACGGACACTGTATTTTAGAATCAGGATGCATTTTCTAATGTTCACCTCAAGGGCTGAGTGGCTGGGAAGGCGAGGGTGCGGGATGTGGGGCTGCACGCGCAGATCCGGATGCCGTTGGGTGGCAGGGGTGGGGGGGAGGCAGGTTGGTCACCGATGAACTCAGGTGAAGGCTGGGTCAGAGACTGTGCTCCGGGGGCTCTGCCCTGGAGGAGGGGCCCTGAGCTGCAGAGCTCAGCTGTCCCCGCCCTGGCCGGCTGACCGGCTCCAGAGCAGAGACTCCACCAGGATGGCACGTGGAGCCCGAGTCTGTGCCTTGGCCCTTGGGCTTGGTTTCGGGAAACGGTGAGTTCAAGGGCTTTGGCTCCCGGTCCCCCTCAGGAGGTTCTCTCAGCGAAGGGCTCTTCTCAGAAAGAAAAAAAGGGGTTTGCTTTCCTTTAAAAAAAAATTTACTTTGAAACACAGGAAAGGTGAGAGGAAGCACCTTCTGTTGTATCGTAAGCAATAAACTCCACACTGGGTGGCATCTACCCAACACCACTTGACCCCAGGCCAGGCTGGTGTCGGAATCTGGGACCTTTGCCGGCCACCTCTGGAGAACCGAAGTCAACTTTCCCAGGACTGGGCCGGGTGGCGAGGGGGCTGGCAGTGTGCCCCGCGGTCCCTGCTGGCTGCCAACCGGCAGGGCACAATGGCAGGACCTTAACTTGACTTCCAGCCCCAGGTGAGGAGGGGGCTGCCAAGCTAGGCGTAGTGTTGGTGCCCTTTACCCAAGTCATGAGCTCATGGCATTCTGCATACAGAAAGCGATGTTTAAAGGAAAAAAAACAAAACAAAAATACACACAAAACCATCCGGTGGAGCCACACTTTCAATGAAAATTGGTCTTTGTGGACAGAAAAAAACGTCTTGAATATATTTAGGAGTTGCCGTCTATTTTTAACTAACTCCATATGCTGCCAGTATCGACGTCACAACAATTGCCAAAATAAGATTTTATTTTTGCCTTTATAAAGATTTTGTTGGAAAAAAAATGAAATGAATATTTTGCAAGGAAAAAAAGTTAATTTAAATAAAAGTGTAATGGTTTGCAAAAAAAAAAAAATGTGATGTACAGATTAAAATATTAACCTGATACACATCCTGCTTCTTGCCGGCTGTATTCTCCTGAGGGCCCTGGGCTAGTGTTCCTCCCCAGATCTTTGGAAGGTTGCTGGCTCTTGGTCCTGCTGGTATTCCCCTGAGGAAAGTGTCTCCCACTGACAGCTCCTCGCTACCTGCCGGGCCTCAGAGGCCTGGGGCAGGAGGCCTGTGCTCCTGGCCCAGCGGCTGCTCACGGTGGCCCACCCCCACCCCACCCCTTGGACTCCGTGTGGGCTGGCTTGGCAGGCAGACTGCAATCCAAGATAGCAGGAGGGACTCCGCCGGCTCCCACACAGCTCCTGCCCGCGCCGTCCAGTGAGGTGGGTTAGGGAAGGGCCGTTGCAGAGTGGATTTGTATTTAATTCCCTTTGACTTGGCATCTATGCTTAAAACAGAAGGCGAGAGGCCGGTTGCGCGTAGGGACGTATTTCCAAGTCTGGTGTAACGGCAGCGTTTCTCTCTTGCCAAGAAGAGCGCCTGTGGTGCAGAGGGACTTCCAGCTATTTAAAGGGGGAGGGGAAATACAGTCCAAGGCGTTCTGAACAGGAGGCATTGCCCGTCTTTTAGCTGCTGATCTCTCTCTCTGAGTTTCACAACAAAAATCCCCTCCTGTTTAAGCATTTCTTGGAGATCTCTTCGTAACAGGAGTGGGGTTTGCGGGAGGAGGATTCCTCCAGGACCGCGAGCACAGGAAAAGAAAAGGTACCGGGCGCCGTGCCCCCACGTGGTGAGCGCAGGTCAGGGGGTCTTCTTCCTGTTGGTCTCAGCTCACACCCGGTCCTCTGAGGGGGAGTGTGGCCACTCTCACTGTTCTCTCCAGCTCCCGCAGGAAGGAGGGGGAGACCTCTCAGAGGGGCACGGCCCACATTTCAACCTGCAGAGAGCACGCTGGGCCGCCGCTCAGGCTGCATGGAGAGAGCCAGCTGCGTCCTGGGGCAGCAGGCAGCCGGCCAGCCCCCGTGCGAGGACTCTGGCTTCCTGAGGTAAGGTGGGGCCGTCTGGGGAAGTGTTGGCTGGCCAGGGGCCCTCTGCTGGGGACAACCCTGGGAAAGTCCACGTGGCTTTCCTATAATATATAATAAAGAGGTAATATGCAAATTGATCCTCACACCCTCATACAAGATGGCCACCCCCATGTGTTCAAAGATGGCTGCCACAAGATGGCTAGCAGGGGAGGCCAGTTGGGGGTGATCGAACTGGCAGGGGAGGGTAGTTGGGGATAATCAGACTGGCAGGGGTTGGTTAGGGGGTTATCAGGCTGTCAGGTAGGCGAACAATTGGGAGCCAGCAGTCCTGATTATGAGAAGGATGTCCGACTTTTGGTTTAGACCCTGTGGGATTGGGCCTAAACCAGCAGTCAGATATCCCCTGAGGGGTCCCAAATTGAAGAAGGTGTAGGCTGGGCTGAGGGACAACTTCCCTCCTCTCCCCCCAGTACATGAATTTTGTGCACTGGGCCACTAATTATATATATATTGGTTTCAGAGAGGAAGGGATTGAGAGAGAAAGAAACATCAATGATAAAGGAATCACTGATTGGCTGCCTCCTGCACACTCCCAACTGGGGGTCATAGAGCCTGCAACCCAGGCATGGGCCCTGACCAGGAATCGAATTATGACCTCCTGGTTTACAGGTTGATGCTCAACCACTGAGCCACGCCAGCCAGGTGAGCTTGGCCTCTTTAGAGGGGACACAGCGCCCGCCCTAGCAGTTTCAGTGATGGAATTGCAGTTGACAAAGGAGGTACCTACATCTGTTTGTTGGCATCTCCTGAGTTTTAACTTCAACCCGGGCCCGGATTGCTTCTTACTGGCTGTGTTCTCCTGAGTGGCCTGAGAACCAACGAGGACATTTTAGGATCTAGTCGGAAACGTGGGGGGCTGGGAATAAAACCTCTTCCTGATCCCCAAAGGAGTCTCCGACTGCCCAGATCTCAGCATGCCCAGGCTCTGTTTCAGTGACTGGAGCTGAAGCGGGTGCACATTTGTGAGTGCACCTGAGGCGGGTGCTGAAAACAAGCCTTCTGTGTGTTCCCGTCATGAACTCCATGTTTGGTTGTGGATGGAAACTGCCCCTAGCCCCTTCCTCCTCCACTGTCTTTCTGCAGGATTTTCCTAGCTGCTGTAGGTCGCAGCCCAAGGCCAGGGAACCCTCTGTCCGCCCACAGTCAGCTCAGGGGCGGAAGGCGTGGAGGACAGAGTGAATGTGGAGCCTGGCTCAGCCAGACGAGAGCCCGCTTTAGGCTTTGAACATTTCCCCCGACTCTGGCACAGCCCTCCAGGGCACGTCCTTTTTCAGTGGGTACCAAGGGTGGGAAAGAAGCAGCCGATTATCTGTCTAACCTATAAGTCCCATTTCTGAGACGTGGCATGCAGACACTCTTAGTCCTTTGCTTCTGATTCAGTGTCAGATGCTGGGACTCATGAGGGACTTTGCCCACGTGAGTTTTGTGCTATTATGAAAAGAACAGCGAGCGATGGAGGTGGGGAGGGGGGGCGGTGAAAATGGCAGCCCCTCCCAGCCCGGTAAGCATGCCATTGCTTGGCCGCCTTCACACCAAAGGCGACCACTCTCGCGGCTCTCCGAGCAAAGGGACCTTTCTTTGGCGTGAGTGGCGGGTACAAAGGCAGAGCACAAAACGTGCGCACATCAGAGCCCCCGCGATTCCGTTTGAACAGGCGTATTGATTGGGTCTGACCCCGTTACATTTCCCCCTATTATCTGAAAAGGTGCATCTAAGTGCCAGTGAATTGAACCGGCGGAGCTGAACTTTCCAGGAGAACTTTTCTCAGGCTGTTTCTTTGGTTCAAAGCGTTTGCGTTTTAAAGGGCATTTTTAATACGAGTCTGTTGAGTATTCTGTGCCGCAGCCCAACGAGGGGTGTTCAATGCAGATGAGGCTGGCGTGTGGGCTGGACGTGCCCGCCTGGCGGAGGCTGTGGGTCGTGGTTGGGGGGTGAGGACCAGCCGGGAAGGGCTGTGCTTTGGGGTGGAGGCTGAGCCCTGGGCTGTGGAGCAGCACACAGAGGTCCTCTCTGAGCTCATGGGGGACAGGGAAGAGGCTTCCCCGCTGAGCCTCTCGGAGGCGTTTGCGGGAAGCAGGGGAGGGTTTGCTAGGGGCTCCGTGGAATGGACGAGGGTTTGTCTTCAGGAGTGAGGACTCCTCGCTGCTCAGGGGCTTGCTGTCTCTCACGCTGAGAGCTTCAGAAGCTTAGACGTGTGCTTCCCTGGCCTCCCTCGGGCTGCAGTCTGCACCATGAGGGCAGGAATGAGGGGCACGGTCCCTTGGCGGAGGTCACGGAGTCAACAGGAAGCTGTCACTGTCCTCGGCCCCTGGGCTGACCTCACTCATCAGCCCCAGATGCTTCCCCCTGAGCCCTGAGCCGCATGCCGATCCTTAGCTGATCGGGCAGCTAAGACTTCTCGCTGGTGGTGTGGGCCGGGGCAGTGGTTTCTCTCGCCACCCTGGCCCGGGGCCCTGAAACATCCACTAAGTCTCGTTTTCTGCACGTGCATTGGGGCTGTCCCGGCCCCCCGGAGGCACACAGCCCTCGTGGACGAAGTTTCAGGCCAGTCTGTGTGCCTTCAGAGGCCTCTTGGATCTAGAAACTGCCTCCTTCTGAGGCCCAGAATCTGGGTGCTGAGATGGCATGATCACTGGGAGGCGCTGGGAAATTGGGTCCTGTGCTGGGAGAACCGGGGTGCAGGCACCTCGGCCAAACCCTCCCCGTGTTCCGGCCAGAGCTGCAGCCCGAAGCTGGCCTGGGGAGGGTTCCTCTCAGGACAGAAGAAGGCAGCAGGGCCCCATCCGGTGTCTCCTGTGTCAGTGGCCACGGCCGGCGCTGGGGGAAGAAGGCGTCAGGAGGCGGAGGTGACTCAGGAGCCAGGCTGCCTGCGATCCCATTCAGGTGCCATTTGCCAGCCTGTGACCCTGGGGAAGGTACTCCGCCTCTCCATGCCTCGTCCTCTCACCTGTAAAGTAAAGGCTTGTATTAGCATCTACCTCCGGGAGCTGTTAAGAGGGTTAAGCGAGTTATTACGTGGAAAATGCTAAGCACGGCTCCTGGCCCCACAGGAAGCACTAGCAACAGTATGCATGTTAGTTGTCGTTTACCTGCTTTTACCTTCTAATCGTTGAATGCCTGCCATGCTCTTCCTGAGGATTGCCTGTCTCCCTCAGAAGAATATGAACTTCCTGAGAACAAGAGCGTTGCTTTGCTCACTGGATTATCTCTTGAGGCCGGAGCCATGTGTGCCACGAAGCAGGTGCTGAGAAATGGCTGGGTGAATGAATGAAAGGAATCAGGCCTGTGGGCCAGGGAGGACTTGGCTGACCTCTGTGCTCCTGTCCCACGTTTTATACTCTTTCCCAGCGATTTCCAACTGGTGTGCCGCAAGCGTGTATAAAACGTGCGATACCTGGCCATTTAATAGTCAGGGGCACGGACCTCTTTTCCCTTCGGTTGTCAGGTAAAATTTGAAAAAATGACAACAGCCAACACAACAATAGCCAACCGGTGTGCATGAATCAAAATTATACCTAGCTTTAGCTGGTTTGGCTTGGTGGATAGAGCGTCAGCCTGTGGAGTGAAAGGTCCCAGGTTCGATTCTGGTCAAGGGTATGTACCTTGGTTGCAGGCATATCCAAGTAGGAGGTGTGCAGGAGGCGGCTGATCCATGTTTTTCTCTCATTGATGTTTCTAACTCTCTATCCCTCTCCCTCTGTAAAAAAATCAATTATATATATATATATATATATATATATATATATATATATATATATATTGATATATATATGGATATATTTATATATATATTGATATATATATTGATATATTTATATATATTTTAAATCAGGGGTCCTCAAACTTTTTAAAGTGGGGGCCAGATCACGGTCCCTCAGAGAGCTGG